GTTCTCGCTGTTGGGGTGGGGGGTGGTGGTAGGGGTGAATCAATGTTCAGTAGTGGTGAGACATCAGTGCTCTTGGAAGTGTCTTTGAGAAAGTTTCCAGGGTACTTGTGGGAGCTCCAGTAGTCCCTTTGGATGCATTATGAATTCTTGAGATGGTTGCAAGATAAATCTTGATTGGTTCTTGTGTTGTTGTTGTTGTTGTTGTTGTTGTTGTTGTTGTTGTTGTTGTTGTTATGTGAGTGGTCCTTCAAGTATTTTTTAAGGGGATTTAAATGGCTACAGATGTCAGTGAAGAGGTTGTAAAGGTCAGCGCCTGTCAAACGTTCGAGACCCCCTCGTGCCACAGCTTTCTGATGTCAGAGTTAGCGGTGGCTGTATCCGACAGAACTCCTCAACATAGACAACCAGTACATCCGCTTCAGTGAGAAAGTAAGAAGGATTTGATCAAGTCTCAAGCTCTTTTCTCATACTTGAGACAACTACTTCTGTCGCTTCTCACATGTACAAACAGAGCAACACTTAGAAATGCCTCAGTGGAGAGGCAAGGTCCGAAGACACATTATATGAACTAGTTTGTTTCTCATGTGGAGGGTCATGGTGAAATTATGTGAAGGCGCTTCGATGGTTCTGCTCTGCTGATCCTTGATGAGGGTCAATCAGCTTCTTTTGTCGTGTTGTTGGTCCTTCAGGAGGGTGTAAGGGTTTTTAAGGTGGTTCGGATTATCCTTGAGTTGGTTGCAGTCATTTTTCAGGAGGTTGTAGGGGTTTGGTAAAAGTGTAAAAATAATGCCAGCTAGTGTTGGTGTACTTCAGTTAGACCTGACCAACTCCACCTTCTGAGTCAGCAGGAAAGCAGCACGCCTGATCACAAGCCATTGGCCATACACTGTGACGATGTTATGAAGTGTTGTTGACCAGTCACAGCCACTTCAACATGTATTTTTAGTTATTGAGCAAACTGCACAGTCTATTATGTAAACTAATCTGCTCAAATGTCCTCTAAATCAGTTAAGTGACTCTCCCATATTTCCTTAAACTGTCATCCACAGATGCCGAGAGGGTCACGTAGTCTACACCCAGTATACCATGAAGTACTAATGCTGACAGTGCTCTCATCTCAGCAGTTAGTGGACAATAATTTAATGTTATTTGTTATTTTGCACTAACAGGATATGAAAAAACTGTCAATTACAGTATCTACTAAATACTGCCAATAAAATCTGTGACAGACATATTAGGTTAATGAATACTTTTCTGCTGCATAGTGGGTCCAAATAATTTCTTTTTTTAATTTACTAGCATTACATCTTCACTGTGATAATACAATAATACATCTTCAATGTATTATTGAAGGCGAGGCTTTTATTTTGGCAGGTCCACCAAGCTGACACATCACACCATCTTTAAAAATAGACACTAATCTGTATTTACTATCATAAATAATCTTCCAGCTAATAACAGCTGATCCAGACACTGATCTGAGCTGTCGTGTGTCCGGCTACATGTGTTTGATTACAGCGTTGTGTTGTGTCATGTTGTTCTGAACTTAATAAAGAGCTGTCGTGGTAAATACAGACACTGACTCACAGCTCTGCTATATGAGGGCAAACTCAGAGAGCGGCATCGTGACACACTGCTAATCCACAGCTAGCCTAATGTCAGTCTGAAAACACACACAGCTGCCCAGGCCTGGCCTGGCCTGGCCTGGCTTGGCCTGGCTTGACCTGGTCTGGTCTGGTCTGGTTTGGCTTGGATACTTCTTAAATCAAACCTCTCAATCCATTGTATTTAGATCAGCATTTAAAACTTTCATTCTCATCTGCAAAGGCTAGAACTGGATTTACGACATGTTACAATGGGTTACAAAGGGTTATTGTGCATGTAGATGATGAAAGAGGAATTGGAAAAGGTTATAAGGAATTTAGAATGAGTTAGAATAGATTATAAGGTATTTAAAGTGGGTTATAGTGCAATCAGAATGGATTATAATGTATTTATTTTAATAGTTTATTTAAGGTTGGTTACAATTGGTTATACTTTGCATTAAACTGGGTCATAGTGTCTTTAGAGTGCATTACAATGACTTGTAGTACATTTCTGATGGATTATAATTGGTTGTAAGTCTTTTAAAATGAGTTAAGATGGTCTAGAGTTGGTGATGGTGCGTACAGAGTGGGTTATAGTAAATTAAGACTAGGTTATAGTGTAATTAAAATGGGCAAGAATGTGTTGTAGTGCCTACAAAATGGGTTTGTATGAACTACAAGACATTTAGCATGGGTTAAATGGGTGACATCACCATTAAAATGGGCTAGTTTGGGCTATAGTGGATACAGAATGGGTTAGGATGATTTATAAGGCATTCAGAATGGGTTACAGTGCGTCATTTAGAATGGGTTGTTTAAAATGCTTTAAATGGTTATAAGTGCAATTAAAATTAGAATGATTTAGAATCAGTAACAATGGGTTAAATTTGATTTTGGATTACAGTTAGTGCAATTAAAGTGGGCTGGAATGAGTTTTAGTGCATCTAGAATGGTTGTCAATAAGTTATTGTCCATTATAAGGCAGGGATGGGAATGACTGAATTATAAGACATTCAGAATTGGTTTGGCTGGTTTATAGTTTATTTAAAATGGGATAGAGTGGATTTACTTGAGTTCGACAGATGGACAAAACCAATAAGACCAAAACCTCTCCTCCTCCTCCTCCTCCTCCTCCTCCTCCTCCGGCAGGGCTGATTCAGTTGCTCTCAGTGTTTCCACCCACACTCTGTTGTTATGAAATAATTCACTGCAGGGTTTCTATAAGATGTGACTAAAAACGTACACTGACAGAAGAAATATGCTTCTTCTTGGTCAGATCTACTGTATTGTCTTCATGCACACTGCAGATGAACATGTAACACCTCCTCATGCTGTATGTAACTGGGAACAAACAGGTTTCATTTGGGCTCAGACTTCAGATTCGTCACCACTTTTCCTGAACTGGCCCACTGCCCACATGAGTGACTCAAAAAACAATGTCTTGATTCGACTCTTGGTGGCTTTTAACTGTGTATTGTTAGGCAGTGGTTTATGGTTATGATCGTTCTGTAATTTTTGAATGACTGGACTTGATTTGGTCGTCTTGGCTCCCATTTTAGGCATCTGAGTAAAAGTAGTTTGTGTCTCTTTAACAAACAGTGAAGGAGAGTTGAGATGTACAGAGCCGCTCTTCCTGCCCCCCGTGGCAACTGGACACATGGACTCATTATCGTAGCCGCTCAATCACCTTCTCTCTCTGTTTTTCTCTCTATATTATTGCCTCTCTCTGCCTCCAGCAGCTGCAGCTCCATATGTTCTTCATGTTGTTACTGTAAAGTGGATGAGATCAGCTGCTCAGGTCTCCAGGTTGAAACAACACAAACATGAGAAAGAGATGGATTTCCTCCATTTGCTCTTCAACGGCTTTGCCAAGAAGAGTCCATGTCACTCAGCAACATCTTTGTTGAGGTTCAACGCTAAAATGCTTTCTTGTCCAATGGTGTATCTCATAACTCAGTTGCCTCAATATACGTACAGCCTCTTCGGCTCAGTATCAAAGTTAAAATTAGATTTTAGTTTAATTCTGTTCAGACAGTAACTATGAGCAGAGTGGGAAAATTCACATCAACCTCATACTTTAACTTCTGAGTCATTAATTAAACATGACAATGAACCTTAAAACTGTTATTTGGATAAAAGCCTCTTTTAAATGAATGTAATTTATTATAACTAGAGAAGTATCACAAAACTTTTTTTACTTTCATATTAAATCCAATGTTAACATTTCTACAACTAATTCAGCCAAACCCAGCTACATATACACTGTTTTTTTTTTTTAAGGGGTTCCACTCATTTTCTAGAAATAGAAATATGTGACACGATAGAAAGTAGCTGACTTATGTCTTTACTGAAATGATTACAAGCCGAGCTGTGGGGAAAACTATCTTTGAACAATGTGTGAAGTGAATGCTCCCAACAAGGTTTTTCCCGATCTTCCCATTTTCCAGACATGGTGTGAAAGCAGCATGAAGGGACACCTTGTTGGGATTGTTAATTGTTGAAGTGAAAAGAAGTAAATACAAATCCTGCAACAAACAGACACAGAAAACGAGCCATCAAATGTTAACACACGCACACACAAAAGAAAAAAACAATAACTGTGGCATTTGCAAAAGTTACAAAAGTCAGTAGTTAGTAACTCCCTCCTTGCCAAGTGTAGGAGTGGAAATATTCTGCTTTGGGGTTGTTTGGCAGCTAGTGGCACAAAAAACATAGTATGGTTAGAGAGAAGAATGGATCCCATTCTATCCAGCACAATTCTGGATGTAAATGTCCTGCAGTCAGTGAAGAAAGGGACAGTGAAAAGAGGCTGGCTTCTGCAACAGGACAATGATCTAAAGCAGACCTCAAGATTCCACCATCATCTACTTCAAGCAGTACAAGCTGAAGCTTGTGGAACGGCTCCTCACAGTCCCCTGATTTGAACATCACTGAAAATCTGTACATAGATCTTAAACATGCTGTGTGTGCAAGACAGCCTAAAAATATCTCTTGACTTGAAGTGATCTGCTGCAAGAGCGGGTGAAAATTCCTAAATCAAGAATAGAAAGACTCTTAGCTGTTACACAAAGTGTTTGTGAGCTGTGATATCTGCCAAAAAGGGGGCTGGGGTGTTAAGTGCTGACTTAGTAGAGTGCTGTCGCTGCTTCTGTTCTTCAGTGTCCAGTGAAGAAGCAGAAAGAGGCTCTCTGCAAGAACATTTGAAGAATTAAACAGTTTTTTTGTGACTGAAGTTTTGCTGCGAACTCCGTAAAGTTTTCAAAACCAGCTGCCACATGTTTTCCACGTCTGAATGTTCAGCCATTTTGAAAGGATATAGCGGCAATCTAGGAAATATAGAGCACTCAGATCAATAGTAGTTTCGTCGCTCAGTTATTAGAAAATCAATAATTCAAACTGGTCTTCTCTTTGCAGGAAGTGGGTGTGGTGCAGTAGGCGGGGCGTTGCCGGGGCTGATAGGTGCCACCGGCCCCTCAGTGATGATGAAACCGTTCCTGTCCTTCCCTGTTGAGACGACGTCGCCAGTTGGACTTTTTCCAAACTTCAACACGGTGTGTGTGTGTGTGTGTGTGTGTGTGTGTGTGTGTGTGTGTGTGTGTGTGTGTGTTGTGTGTGTGTGTGTGTGTGTGTGTGTGTGTGAAGGACAGTAAAAGTGACAGTGTGTTGTAGCTGTAGGCTCTGTAGACTGACTGTGATAAAGAGACCTGTCACTCTGTCAGCCTCTGTTCATCCTGAGCAGGCCGGCGACCTTTGACCTCTGTGTGTCTCCTGCAGATGGACCCGGTGCAGAAGGCCGTCATCAACCACACATTTGGTGTTACCATGGTGCCCAAGAAGAAACAGGTCATCTCCTGTAACGTTTGTCAACTGAGGTTCAACTCTGATGTAAGTTGTTCATGCCTCAATGATCAGCTTCCTCTAATGTGATTCACCTGCACTTTGGTTCCTGCTGTGATCAGAATGTTTGAAGCAGGTTCAAGGGAACAATCTGACATTTCTGGAAATCCTGGTCTTCCATGAGGAAATGAATGTCAGGTTAATCTCTGTGTGCTTCCAGTTCATAAATGATGAGGTTACTGAACGGGTTCACTGGGCACACCTGAAAAAAAGTCACTGAAAGAAACTCAAAATGAAGAGACAAAGAGACACTAAATGACCACAGAGACACAAACTAACCACAAAGTGACACCCAGTGCATGCAAAAAAACTCAAAATGACTACAAAGAGACAGAAAATGACTACAAAGAGATAATAAACAGCCATAAAGAGACACAAAATGAATATGAAGAGGTGAAAAACACCTGCAAAGAGATGCAAAACAACAACAGATACAATAAACAGACACAGAACGACCGTAGAGGGACACAAAATTACAGCAAAGAGACAAAAAAAACCAAAAATAAAATCCATCACATAAGACATCTCTATTCAGTCTGGGGTTCTTGCTCCCATCCATTTACCCTGTTGTCTTATAGTCCGTCCATGAGTACAGTGATAGGCCCAGCATATGTTTGATTTAGCTTGGTACAAATACTAGGAGCAGGGAGAAGCATCAAAAGTGAAAAAATAGCTCTTCTCACACCTCCAACGCTGTCTGATTTTAAACAACTCCTGGACCTTCTGTATCTCTGGCTGTGCAGAGATGAAACTGATACACATACTCCAGGGGAGACAGAGAACAAGTGTTGTTTTTTTTACAAAATAATGGACTGTTCCTTTAACATATCCCTCGGTTGCTTGTTAGATAATAAGCCAACATGTTTGCAGAGTAATGTTAGCTCTGTAGCTCACAAATACAAGCTCATTAGCAACTAAGGTCTGTGGTTTCAGGACTGGAAAATTAATTAAAACTGTTTTCAACAATATAACAATGAACAGTTTAACATCCAATACATTTAGCTTTCTTGCTAATATTGGCATAGCTTGCCCTATTTGTTGATAATGACACAGCAGTCTTTTTTTTTATTTAAATGATACTGAAAATGACTTAACCTTAACCTTCACTTTTGCAGGACCTAGGCTAACAGTTCCTTCTAAGCCAGACTAAAAATGTCCTGGATCTGTCTCTGTACTGCAAACACAACCATGAACGTGGTGTACTGAAGAAGAGTTCCTAAAATGTTGTTATTGTTGTTGTTGTGTTGCTTAAAGGAGATTTCCAGTGGGCTTTTTTTTTTTTTAAGTCTGCACAGAGCTACTAAGGAAAATGTTTTTATATGGTGCTTAATGCTGCTAAGTGGTGGAGCTTAGGCTGTGTGATACTTTACAGTGTTTTAGTTTGTTTTTGTGTGTTGGATTATTCTGTCAGGCGTTCACACAACAGCAGGTGTATATAAACAGGTGTAACCCCTACCACTCTATGCTGTGTAAACGACACTCAGCTCATTCACATAATGACTGCTGAGAGGTAACGATCTGCCTCGTTAGTGACACGCCAATCAAACGTGACTAATTTATGAGCTGGTAAAATTATGCATGAGTGAACATGAAAACAGGAATCAGTGCTGAGGAGAGGAGAGGAGTGGAGAGAAGAGAGGAGAGAAAGAGGAGAGAGAGAGGAGAGAGAGAGGAGAGGAGAGAAAGAGGAGGTAGGAGAGAGAGAGGAGAGAAAGAGAAGGGAGGAGAGAGAGAGGAGAGGAGAGAAGAGGGAAGAGAGAGAGGAAGAGGAGAGGAGTGGAGAGGAAAAGGAGAGGAGAGAGAGAGGAGAGGAGAGAAGAGAGGAGAGAGAGAGGAGTGGAGAGAAAGAGGAGAGGAGAGAAGAGGGGAGAGAGAGAGACGTAAAGGAGGAGAGGAGAGGAAGAGGAGAGAAAGGAGAGAGAGAGAGGAGTGGAGAGGAGTGGAGGGAAAGAGGAGAGGAGTGGAGAGGAGAGAGAGAGGAGTGGAGGGAAAGAGGAGAGGAGAGAGAGAGAGGACTATTAACTCAGTCTAATAAGCTGGGTAAAAGTTGAGTCATGATGTTTTCAGACAGTCACATGAGGACACTGTTAACATGGTTTTGTTACAGTGTAGTGACACACTGCTGCCCAGGGCTCGTTACGCTGTGGTGACACCTAACATGAACGGGTTTTTACAGTGTAGAGATCATCTGTTTATCTGGACTGTTCAGACTACAGCACTATTGAGGCTCCACATTTCAAGTACAGTACATATATATCCCAAACCCCCCCCCACACACACACACACACACACACACACGTAAAGCCTGTGTTGACCTACGACTCCATCTCCACCTGGTTTTAACATGTGATCTGTATCTGGATGTCTGATCTGAACCAGGATAAAACGCATGTGAATGCAGGTGTAAGACTGTTGTAGTCAGAATGCACTCAGGTCGTCCAGACCACATCTGACATTCATGGTCCGTAAAGGATGAACTGTAATGACTTTGGTCATTAGCTCACTTTTCATCTAGCATTATCATCAGGTCAAATATTTTTAATTTGTTAAGTGATTTGGTTTACGACCGAATACAACGCAAAACTAATGACATTTTCATCAGCTTTAGCTCAAAGCATCACCACACCCGAGTACATTCTCACAGAGCAGCTGGCATGGCTGTTGACTCTTAGTGGGAGTTCAGGGGTCTGTGCTGGTGGGAGTGTGTTGCTTCTTTATGATTATGATTATTTTTGAACAGGATGTAGCATCAGGATTTCATGTCTTTAGATCCAGACGACAGAAAAAAGCCCGAAATGAAAAATAAAACTTCTCTGTCTCTGTGTGTCTCTTGGCCAGTCTCAGGCAGAGGCTCATTACAGAGGCAGCCGTCACGCCAAGAAGCTCAAGTCTCAGGAGAACAAGGCCAAGGCCAAGCTGTCAATCACTGCAGAGACCAATGGGAGCAGCTCTAGCCCTGCTGGCCCCGCCCCTCATGTCTCAGCTAACAGCAGCACCAATCAGCACACAGGTTGAGTTCATCTGCTGATTAACACTGATCTGAATGTTGTTGCTGATTCTGCGATGAGTTTGTTTTTTTTGTATCACAAAATTTCTTCCTCTTCTTTTTTTCCTCCTTTTTCTTCCTTCTCCTCCTCCCTCCAGAATTCTTATCCAGCATCACCGACTCCTCCTCTCCTCTCAAAGCCTTCCTCCTCCCCTCCTCCTCCCCTCCCTCCTCCTCCTCCCCCTCCTCTAGCAGAGCAGGCAGTGAGCCTCCCCCCTCCAGTCCTCCCTCCGCTCTCCCCGCTCCAGGCCTCTCGTCCTCTTCTTCCTCCTCTGCCTCTTCCAAAGCTTCTCCTCCTCCCCCTCCTCCGGCTCCTGTCACCTCCTCTTCATCCCCTGCCCCTCTTCCTCCTCCTTCCCAGGCCTCCTCCCAGGATGCTCCTCTCTCAGTAGAGTCCGAGGAGGAGAAGGCCAAGAAGCTGCTGTACTGCTCTCTCTGTAAAGTTGCTGTCAACTCTCTGTCTCAGCTGGAGGCTCATAATGCAGGTGAGGAGTAACGAGATGACGCCGACATAAAACATTAACCAGTAGGGAGTCCATGTTGATCAATCTTTCACATGACACGACTCACACATACTGAGAGGAAAGACAAACATACAGGTGGCTGCACTGCAGTGCCTCCATGAACAAAGCCAGGTCAATAAAGAAATGGAAGAAGAACTCATCACTCAACAGCAGTGCCGAGGCTAATGGCTCAAGCTAAACCCTGCAGCCAGTTTCCAAAATCTGGTGCAAAGCCTTAAGACAGCAAAGTGGTTCCAGCAACAGATTAATGCCCATGGCTTTGGAATGAGATGTTCAACATCGTTGTACAGATGTCCACTTACTTTTGGCCATGTGTTATATATGTGACTGGACACTGTAGAAGTAACGGTACTCTCAAGTCTCAGTTTGAATGGATTAATGTTACTGCTGATGTTATAGTTTAGACTTTCCGACTGATCAGTGAACTGAATGGTTTGACTTTGTCTTTGACTTTGTACCAACCCTGAGTTAGACAAAGTTAAGTCACCTAATTTTGAATGTCTGTGAGTGAGTGACTGAGTGATGAGGTTATGCCATTGGTTGGCTGAGTGTTGGCTGTTACTCTTTGAAAGTGATTTGGTGCGAAAAGTCTCCGTTACATCAACTGTTTACTTCAAATGCCGAAGGTAACAGGCCTTTATTAGAGGCAGGTCTTCGTTTCTAATTTCCTCTGTTTCATCATGAATCGTTGATCGTAGAGGTATTACAGTGCGATGCCTCATTTTGATCCACTCCTGTTTGCCCTGTAAAAGTTAATTCACTCACTCAAACTCCACACCTCATGTAACTTTCAAATTAAAAACGCTCTAGTGTTTCAATGGACAGAAACCCTTTATTTCTTAACAGGACTTTTACTGCTGTGCTCACGTGCTGCAGTGAGTGTATTGTCTCGTTTCTAGTTGCTTGCGTTGCTGTTTACGCGCTATTCATATCTGCTAGTTACTTTAGCTTAGCAGTTACCGATGACTTCTCTCTCTCTCTCCCTCCCACTCTCTTGCTCTGTCTTGCTCAGTGTGTCTTATGTTTAGTTATTCCTTCTTTCATGATAATGTTAAATGTGATAAATGTAGTTTGTTTGCCATAATGGAGGCGAGGCTCAGTGAATGGGAAGCGTGGTTTCACTTCCTGGCAGCTCCTGAGCAGTTAGGAAGCCCGGGCGGCTGGGTGACTGCCCATAACAAGACACATAGGCCTAAGCCCACGGTTCACACCACCGCTACCAACAAAGTGTTTGATAATAGCATCATTATACTGTTGAATTTATTAAATTAAAGAGGTGGAAATGCACATGATGTTTAACTGGCATGCACATGACAGGTGCCAGGAGTTTATCCCCCTCTGGTCTATATTTCCCTGCCTCTGCTGAATTATTTTTATCCCCAGTGGGGTCAAAATTTATCCTTGCCCCAAAGTGATAATGGCGGCGGCTCGGGTCACATCATTGAGGATTAATTACATATGTTAGTCCAGTGACATTCATAGAAATGAACTGAAACTAGTGTCTGTCTGGAGGGAGGGAAATCAGATGAAAACTGATGGACTGAAAAATGTGCAACAAGAATTTAAAGTGTAAAAAGTTTGTTCATGGGATGAAATGTTAAAAAAAACATCAGCATGGCTTTAAAGCTGCAAAACCCACACTGACATTTTGTATCTCATTTCATAGAAGTCGGTTTCCATGCGTCTTCTATTTTCAGGTTCGAAGCACAAGACGATGCTGGAGGCTCGGAGCGGCGCCGGGCCGATCAAGGCCTACCCTCGACCCGGAGCCAAGCTGAAGAACGGCAGCAGCTCCGGGCTGAAGGGCTCCGGCCTGCAGAACAAAACCTTCCACTGTCAGATCTGTGACGTCCACGTCAACTCTGAGATCCAACTCAAACAGGTAGGAACACACAGAGGGCACAAACAGTATAACGACATTACATTAACATTGCTTTATACAAACCCAAATCCTTCATTGGTAACTTATTCCTGTTCTGTAGCCGGATGCAAATTAAAACAGGTTGCCCAACACAAACTAGTTCTTACGAGTTCCATCAGGCATTGTCTTCAGTGTGTGTGTGTGTGTGTGGTGTGTGTGTGTGTGTGTGGTGTGTGTGTGTGTGTGTGTGTGTGTGTGTGTGTGTGTGTGTGTGTGTGTGTGTGTGTGTGTGTGTGTGTGTGTGTGTGTTGTTGTTGTTGCAGCACATCTCCAGCAGGAGGCACAAGGACAGAGTGGCAGGAAAACCCAGCAAACCCAAATACAGCCCCTATAACAAACAGCAGAGAAACTCTCTCACTGTGAGTGTCTCTCATATTTCAGTTCAGTGTTGTGCAGAAGCAGGTCTGAAACAATATTGATTAACCAATCAATAAAATAGACAAAGATTAATATATTGTCCCCTCTCCTCTCATCTTGTCTCCTCCCATCTCTTCTCCTTGTTACCTCTCCTTTCCTTTCCTTGTCTGCCTGTCCTTTTTCCCTGTTTCCTATTTCCTCTCCTCGTTTCCTTTACTTTTCTACCCTCCTTGTCTCCTCTCCTCCTCAGAAGGAGCTGGTGAAGCCCTCCCTCTCTCCCTCCTTCCTCTCCACTCCCTTCGCTCCTCCGCCCTCTTCCCTCACCTCCTCCATCACGCTCCCTCCCTCCTCTCTCGCCTCCGCCCCCCTCCTCACTCCCACCTCCTCACCCCTCACCCCTGCCATCTCTCTCCACGCTCGCCCTCCAGCCCCCTCGTCCATCTTCACCGCCTCCTTCCTGCGTCCGGCTCCTGGACCAATCAGAGCGAGCCAAGGATCGATTCTCTTCACGCCCTACTGATGACAGAGGTGGCGGTGGGGAGTCGAACTGGCAACCTTTGACCTCTGACCTCCAGTTTGCTGGAGCTACGGGGGCAGAAAAGTCAGAAGAGACATCAGCTCTGCCATCATGTCTGCAGGGATTCAAACCTGCAACCTTCTCACCTGACTGAGGCTTCACAAAGAGACATGAGAGGACAGAGCCTCCTTCTGTCTGGATCGTGGGTCCGAAACCAGCTGAAGCAAACCGAAAATGAACGTGTTGCTTTAAATAAACCACAGAGCTGAACCCAAGCAGAACCAGTCGCAAAGAACCAGGAACCAGGAAATTTATTTATGCAGTCATGAAAATATTAAAGAATTGCACCAATTTTCTAAAAAAGAAAGTGGCCCTGGAAAACTTCATTGTTGTCTCCGTAATGTCCCAGATTCAGCAGATAGAGGATGTCCACCTCAAAGAAAACCAAGTGAAACAGTCAACATGTGCGAATATTCACACTTTTGTTTGGACCTTATTACCAAAAACAATCCCAAAGTACCTCATCATTTATAACTGTTCATGTTATTTGTGGCAGCGCTAAATCTGCTGAAAATAAAGCTGGAGTTTTTTGGTTTGATTGAGATGACAAGAATCAGAAACAGGATTCAGGAGGAACCAGAACTGAGAAGCAGAATCTAAAGAAATCTCGAAGGAAGACGGTGAAGACACACTGGCGTTTTCTGTATTCTGATTTTCAGTCTAAAGATGCAGCTTCAGTTGAGCCCAGACACAAAGGTGGATAAGAAAGTCTGGACCCAGAACCCGGTTCAGGTCCAGTTGGGTCAGGTCTTCAGAGTTTGGAGGGGGACTGATCCTGTCCGAACAAATAACCAGCACAAACAAGATGTCAGAGAACTCAGCCGACGTCCTCCATCATGAAATATGCCACTGCTATGACTACTGCAGCTACATCTTCATGTCGTACCAGACTGTGGTGTCGCAGATGTCCTCCCTCAAGCCTCCCTGCGTTCACGTTCAACTTGTTCCTAACATACAACATCTCGAGCAAACAAACTGCGAAGTGGAGAAAGAAAAATTAAAGGATAAAACTGGTGTCGTTCTATATCATTAACACTGTCAACAAATCCCTCGAAAAGACCAAAACCAACAATGTATTAGGTCATTTCTTGATACTTTCTGACCTCCATACGCTGTCTTTGTCACTTTTGGTTCCTACTGAAGACGTAAAAAAAGTTCACAAGTGTGCAGTTTCATTTTAAAAAAAGGTTCAGTAATTTCATAAAACAGCTGAACACTGTAGATTTAAACAAATGTCACTTAAACAGGATGAAATGGTGCATTTGTTGGGGACCCTAAACTAGCCTAACTTTCTCTTGTGGATTTATGGCATCATGAAATCCAAATGAGAACCAGCTTTAACAGGTAATAATCCTCAACAGAAAGTCACATCAGGATTGATTCAGGACAGTTTGTTGCTTGTTCTCGTGCTGTATGTTTGGAATTGAAATGCGAGAACATGAACTCCTCTTTCTCCTCATGTCTGATGTCCACACCTCTGTCTGTACCTGATGTCGTCCCTGTCGTCTCCACTGCCGCTGTGGTACAGACTAACTCTGGACTCTGGATCAGACTAATTCCCTGGTCTTACAGTGAAGAAGGCCTTTCATACTGACTGTTGCCAGGTGCGTACACTCACTCTGTCGGGTTTTCTTCCTCTCCACCTTCCTCCTGCTGAATCTCACCAGAACTTTCTGGAGTTTAAAGCGTCTGAGCAGAACTTTTAACTTAAGCTTTTATCACAAGGAGGAACTTTTGAAGACTTTAACACATCACTGGAACTTTTCACAACCTGCAACAGCAAAGGAACATTTTCCTTAAATAAGCTTATTCAATTTCCATGATCAAAACAAAATATTAACATTTCTCTGGTTGCGTTTCCTGTGCTCTGATAATTTATTTTACAGTGTATGTTGTAAATATTTACCAAAAGCTTTTTCACGACTTTCAAACAACTGCACGATCTACAGCACGACCTCATGTTGTGTTCAATGTTCATTCACTGAGGGATATTTTTTATGTCACTTTATACCCCACCTCTCCCAGTCCATTCACCCTCTATATATTGCTTAATATTGTATATATATTTTCATTATGACTGGATCTTATTAGTATTTTAAATTCAAGCCATTTTATTTTATACTACAAATCACAAATCTGCCTCAAGGGGCCTCACAATCTGTACAGCATATAACGCCATCTGTCCTTAGACTCTCAATTAGGACAAGGAAATACTCCCCTAATGGGCAAAAATGCAGGATGGACAGACATGCAATAGATGTGAAAAATGTGTCAAACAAACCACCTCTAAGTACTTGGTGACTGCTGACATCCGGGAGAAAGAAAGAAAGAAAAAACATCAAAAGAAAAACTTGTCGTCATCCCACGTGAGTGCGTAGCGCGTAAATACGTCCTGACATCTATAGAAAGCAGCCATTTATATCCTCAGTCACTTTAAAGGGCTCAGATGCTATGTTTTTATGAAACAGTAAAACAGATGACTGACCTGAGCTTTCTTAACACTTGAAACATCTGAGGGCTGCAGATGGGTTCTTAAAGTTTTCACAAGACAAAACGACAATTCGTCAGCCGACATCAACCATAATCAGAATTTCTGTGACATGATGACCTGCTAACTGAGAGGAAGAAAGGGAAAAGAAAATGAAAATGAAAAAAAAAAAAAGAACAAAATACTCAAGTTCAGATGCAGTACAGCAGTCTTTAAAGTCTTTAACAGCATTTTAGAAGCGTGGTTTTGTCATGAGTAGCGAGTCTGTGCTGCCATTGTAGATGTCGTGATGACTTGAAAACATTTTCTTACTGTGCTGTTTTCATGTTTGGCTGGCATATGATTGTGCGGTGCCGTCAGTATGTTGTAAGGACCCCATGCTACGCTTTCACGCTTTTATGCTGACATGTGTAGCAATAAGTTTGCTTTATATTCTCGTTGTGTTTTGTAATGAAGCTTGAGCTAGCTCCGTTCGCTAAAGATGACTATGCAATACGACTGAAAGCTCAGAAAAAAATCTCGTAAGTGGACCTTTTAGTCGAGGTTATTCTGTCACACAAACTGATCACCCTCATGAATGAACTTCCATGCTCAACTTCGGGATATTGTTTTGTCTGTCCGTCGCTTTTATATTGTGGCTGTAATGATCACTTTCATCAGTGTTTTTAGGTTTTCAAGTCATAAAATTAAGATGATCAGCAGGTTGTTTAAAAGTCGTGAAAGGGTTTCACAGAACCAGGTGAAACCATAGAAAGTAAAAGAAAACTTCACACAAACTTAAAGATGAGGTGCAAAAGCTCCTCCCCCATCTGACAGGACCAGTTGTTGTGAGTCTTTTCCACTCAGTCTGTTTATCTCCAGGTTCTGAAGACTCTTCTCTTATTGGCTATCAGCATTGTCAATAATTTAACCAATCAGCTGAACTGAGTTTTACCTGGAGGAGTCACTTGCTCTGCTCTGTGATTAATTAATTAATAATACAAAGAACTGAAGCAATCATACTCAAAATCTGATTGGTTGAGTTGAAAAAGTGTGATCGGTCGGAGTGATGTGGGTGTTGATGTGTGTCTTCTCCAGTGTTATGTCATTTAAAAAATATACAGGTTGTGTTTAAAACTGAAGAAAATATTTTCCACAACTTTTCCAAAACCTTTTCGGATGTTGTGTTTTTTCCAAAACTTTTCAACACCATGACTTTTCCGGGTTTATCATGACCATAAAAACCCTGCTTAAAGTATAGGGGCGCATTTTATTTATAGTCAATATGGACAAGAGGAACAATTACATGACCAATAACTCTTGAAATAAACATGAGTGTTGTATGACGCTAAACTTGAAAAAATGTGAAACTATCTTTTAATGGGGAAAAAATCACAAGAATAAATTTACTCATTTTGTTGCTTTTTAAAAAAACTACAAATAAATGTCAGTGATTGAACAGCTGCTTTTGTAAATATAAGAACATATCTATAAGCTGTGTTTTAATTGGTGTTTTGCAGTGTAAAGCGTTTATTAACTTTATTCATTGGCCTTATGAACCACATGCAAAATAAGATGTTTACGGTTGAAATAAAAAATGTTAATCATTTTCAAGCAATAATATAAAATAAACATTATTATTTGGGAATTCTTACTTCAAAATGTCTATCCAAGCACTTATTTTTATTTGAATAATAACAATAATGAAATTATTTATTTGTATAGCACATTTACAAAGTATTTCACAAAAAAAAAAACAAAATAGTAAAAACAAAAATCTAAAATTACTAAAACAATAAGATGAATCTTATTTTAAAGTGAAAGTGGGTAAAAGAATATGAATGGCAGCTTTAAAACACATTAAGGAGCACTGTGTGGACCAGACTTCACAGCCACACGACTGGATCAGAAATATTAAGAATATAAGCAGCAACACTCAGTAAACCTCTCAACTGACTGGTGTTCATATCATTCAATAATCAAACAGGTTGATTGTTGATTATTTTCTATGGTTTCAAATGGTCAATATTTTCTTGTCTGTCTTCCTGCCTCCTCCTGAATAACTTGAAGCATCTCAGTCTTCCAATAATGAACAAACAGGTGTAAGGACATTAAGTGTGTATGTATCTGTGTTTATCTATGCAGTATTTGGTCTCACGGTGCAGTAACTCTATCTCATCAACATGTAATTGTAAAAAAGACAAAGTGTCAAATCCATGTTGATGATGCTGATTAACCTCCACTGAGGCTGTTTGACAGCCGCTCATTTGAAAACAGAGCTCTCGGCTCTTAACTGAACTTCCTGCTCTGTCTAAAGATGTCATCATGATGCAATAATGTACAGATCAGCTGCTGCTTCTCCATTCGCTCTGCTTCCTTATCAGCAATACAGAGGTCTGGGTGTCTCGATACTAGCCCGAGTCTTGATACTTGGCCGAGTTGCAATACTGGAATGAAGCAAACAGGGATGCACTGTTTGAAATGAAGCGTTGATTCTAGCTGACATGTTGTAAACATGTCGGCATTTCTGTTCAAACTGTCATAAAGTTTTTGTTGAAAACTGAGACTGTGCGTGTGTGTGTGCGTTCGTGTGTGTGTGTGCATGTGTGCGTGCGCGTGTGTGTATGTGTGTGTGTGTGTGTGTGTGTGTGTGTGTGTTCTCTCCACGCTTGGAATTAACCTCATGCATCTGATTTAATCACTTTGCTTCCAAAATAAAAGCTCATTTTCCATTAATCCATATGACATGCAAACAGTGAATATGTGTTTAAAGGAGCAGTTCACCCAAACTGCTGCACTCATCTCTGATCCAGGCAGAGTTGTTTGTAACACATCTGATGCGTTTAAGTTTTCTACAAAACAACATTTTAGTTGAGCATAGTTTAGTTGAAAAGTTATTTGTGCCAACAGGTACTGAATTTGAATTTTCTTTCAAAATTTTTAATGTTAAATTGGATCAAATTTCTCCAAATATATTTTAAGAATAAATTCAGGTTTTGAAGATTCACGTTCAAACCGTGGTGATGCACTTCAGATTCAGCTTTCTGAGATTCTGCACAAAGAAAACAAAACAAAGGCTGACAAGTTCATATTCAATCCCTGCAGCCGATCATTACCATTCAAACCTTTCAGAGATTATACTTAACAGGTGAATTACTTAAATTAGATCTGATGAAGCTGACAAAGCAAGGAACTGCTCAAAGGTGAAAATAAACAAATATTTCCTTTATATTTCAGCTCAGACAGCAGCGTTAAGTCCTCTTCAGACATGTTAAAAAGCAACATCTCCTGCTTCAGAGAACCTCCGACCACTTCTTCATGTACAGTATTTATTCTCTGAGCTTGTTTTTTTATGATGACGATGATGATGAAGATTATGATGCAGATATGCAAACGCAAATTTGTCAGGTTGAGATTATGTAACATTTCTCTCCTTATCATTTTATTTCTGTAACTTTGTTTTTTTTTGTTTTTGTTTTCATTAAAAACTGCTGAACAACCTACATCAGTCCTACATTCTTACCAAGTAAAGACATTAGTTACGGGAGATATTTATTAATTTTATCTAGTTTTGCATTTTTTTCACCATGTAATCTCAACACAGATAATGTGACTTTAATGACCTGAGTTCTCAAACAGTCTCACGTAACCTCAATGAGCCTCATGTGATCCAGAGTCCTATGGGAGATAAAATGATTCTTGTGAGACTTCAACAAGTCTTGACCTTGATAACTCTTGTGACCTCAAAGACTCTCATGATGAGAATCTTCAAGGTCACGTGAGTTCATTGAGGCTACATGAGAGGTTACATGAGAGTCTCATGTAACCTCAACATGCTCATGTGACCTCAGTAATTTTAATGTATCATCAACAAGTCATGTGTGACATTACAGACACTCGTGTAACCTAAAGTCTCATGACACTCTCATGACAAAAACTCCCATGTGATCTTAAAATTCTCATGTGACCTCAGTTTCGTAAGACCTCATAACTACGAGATCCTGATCTCGTTGGTCCGGGTACTAAAGTATAATCAGTTTTTTCCGTTTTAAATAAAAATGAAAGTACGAGAAAATAAACTGCTTTTCCAGTGTCCATGATAATTGAATATCAAGTGGAACTAAGTGTAAAAATCGGAGAGGGTGAACCGGAAGTAAAATTAAACCGTCAAAATAGAAGTGAAGTGTGAGCACTTTACTGTCAGGAGAACAAGGCACTTTGCAAATGAACTGGTAGCCTGTATGTTCATATTAAACTTAAGTTAGTGTGATATATAGTTATATTATTTTAGTTGAATAGTATTAATCAATATTGCGGAAACTGTTGCCTGTACTCTACATTCCCTACCCAAATAAAGAGCATCTATAAAGTCACCAGCAGAGGTCGCCATCACCCACCGTGAAGGTTATAACACTGACATAGTTTTAAATAATAACTGTAATAATAATAATAATTTAAAAAAATACATTTTAAATTAAATCTGCATTCACATGTGACATTAAAGACTGTCATGTGACCTCAGTTGTCACCTCAACTTTCATTTGACCTCAACAAGTCTCATGACCTTAGAGGTCCCCCATGTGACCTCAACGATTCTCATGTAACCTTAATTAGTTACCATTTGATTTTCAGCTGATCGTATGGATCTCATGAAAACCCAAACTAGTCTCAAGAAACAAGTTGCAAGATCTTAAATATCCCACCATTGTCATGTTAGCTCACAAACCTCTTCATGTGACCTCGAAAGGTACCGATGTATCTTTAGTGACTTTTTCGTGACCTAAGTGAATCTCATGAGACCTTGAAGACTCTAATGAGACTTCTCATTTGAGCCCACAGATTTTCATGTGACTATAATAATTCTCCTTTCATGTCCGCCAGAGGGCACTTAGCCTACATGAGGGCTGTGTTGACTTATGACTGACACTGGACTGAAAACATGTGGACAGTGTGGAGGGTTAATATGAGGAAGAGCTGCAGAAATTGAAACAGCTGCGACAGGATCTACAATTAATGACCTTTTTCCTCCTCAGTGGAAAGTGTTTACTCCCTGACATATTTATGATCAAGCAGTTACTTTTTCACTAAACATGTTGCACACATGGCCTTGGATGTTAACACAGTGAGCCCTGATGGGAAACTGCCCGCTCCCATACTCCTCCCTCTGCAGACTGTTTCCCATAAGAAACAGATCATTTGTGCTTGTAACAGAAGACAACACATGTCTTATTCTGTTGTTCTCTTGATCTCATTACAGCACATTTAACATCAGATTGTTTCTTTTTATGATTAGCCATTTATTAGACAATTAAGCATTACCAGTAGATAAATGCATGTAACGTTTTACGTATAAATGTATACTAGAAGTAATATTGCAATGGCTCAGCAGTCAGTAATAGTTAATCACAGACACAACAGAGACACAATTACTCACAAAACTAGGAAGAATGAGGGCGCAATGATTAAAGTAATAAAATGATTGAATGCATGTAAAAAGAAAAAGAGAAAGAAATCTGCTTATAATAAAAAATTGACATTGGAAATTTTATAAAAGGCACAACACAAGGGATATTTATCAGAAAAAATAGCATTCAAGGTCTGGGCTTATTGAACGAACCACTGATATGATCAAGTCACTTCTGCCATTTCCTTACATAATCCTGTTAATCAACTGAAACGAAGGAGAGTGAGAGGTGGCAACTCTACTTTTAAGCTTGTACAAAGTCCACTCTTTAACTATGAGTCTCTGGCTAAGTGTGGTCTGGATCCAAGTGGCATCATAGGGAGCCAAGGACTTGAACAGAGATGTGTCACCTAGCATCCATCTTACCTGAGCAAACCGGTACAGGCGAGGTCATCGGACAGACACAACTGGACTGGACAGGAAGCTTTTGACTGGTTTGATCATTTACCGCGCAGTCAGTGTCTCCTGCTCTGTGGTAATAAATGATCAGGCCGGTTAAAAGCTGATGAGGCATCTTCAGTGCAGTGCTGTCTCACCCTGAACCAGTAGATTATGACACCAATGCACATTCATGCAGTCCTCGAACACGCAGTGACGGCGGAGACTTGTAGTGTCTTCAAATTACCTCTAAAATCTTGGTGACAGATGAGATTCCTTCCACGTGACCTGCACAACTGAAGCATAGAAATAATCATTAGTATCTTTGGAAATATAACTTAATAATAACTTTCTCCATATTATTATTTATCCATTATAAAAATTTAATTCTTTGCAACTTTTTGGGGCTCTGAATTGATATTAGGCCTGAACGATTAAAAACAAATGTGATTGATCCTGACTTCCAAAACTGAATTAATTAATACTAAACCACAGAGGTTTTGAGTCTCTTAAATCAGTCAAGAGTGATTACATTTAATCTGACTATTTACCATCTTTAATAATCACTGGTATGAAAAGGCACTTAATGATATTAAAAACAAATGAATATCTTTGAAACCCTCTGTTACTAACTCTTAATACTTGATTTCATTTAGTCCCAATAATCATCACTTCTATCTTTCAAAATGGACAAAATGTTTCTGCTCACTTTATATATATTTCTGATAAGAAGTGTAGTTTTTCTCATAGCCTTCTGAAGGAGGATGAGAGGGGGAGGAGGAGGAGAGAGGAGGAGTTCTTTTCTCTGGATAAAGGAGGTGTGAAGCGACAGAGAGATCCTGCAGAGAGAAGCTGACACTACAACAGGAGTTATTATAGTATTTGTACTCAAATAGCCATTATATTTACACTTATTGTAGTAGAACTTGTACTGGTGGGAGAACTAGTTATTGTGCTTGTAGTAACAGGAGGCATTTGTACTTATTGTTGTAATATTGCTTATAGATTAGTAGTTGTTACAGCTATCACAATAATAGTACTCCAGCATAAATATTTTCTAAATGTACAATAGCTCTAAAAGTATTTGTAGTTTTGAGATAGATATTGTTCGTGCATGTATAGTCAACCCAATTGTTATAGTTGCTTCAGTACCTATAACAGCATCAACTTATATAGCATCAACAACTAGAGTAGAGTTTAAGCAGAGTCCAGTAAAATGCAGGACTACGAGGAGTCGGTGTCGTTCCTGGGGACCTGGGGCCCGTTCCAGAGGAGAGTCTTCTTCCTGCTCTGTCTCACCGCTATTCCATGTGGCTACAACCTCCTGTCTGTCATCTTCCTGCTGGCTAGCCCCCCCCACCACTGCCACATCCCAGCCCACAGCAATCTGAGCGAAGAGTGGATCCAGGCCAGCATCCCACTACAGGTTAGAACCCATCCGAACTGGAACCAGGGGATCACACTGTAAATTGATGTACAAATTCAATTTATTAGCCCATTTCCCAAATCAAAATTTCTGTCATGTCGTCCTACTGACTGTCCACTACAGTTTCTGTTTGATCTACACTGAAAGTTTGTTTATATGCATATAAAGTGCAAGACGAGATGAATATTTGAAGATAATTATGGGTTATAAAAGTGACAAGTATGAGAAAAGTCTTCAAAAAAACCCCCCCAAAAAACCACCTGACTGAAAAAGCATTCAGTGCTGAAAATTCATTGTTTACATCTCACTGGTTTGAGAGTTATGGTAAATGTGACACAGATAGAAAATCCTTTACTTTGGAAAACGTTCACAACAGTCCTCACTTACACAGACCAGCTGGCCGTGTACATTAACTATTATTAAAGATTGGTTTCTAAAGGTGACCAGTCATTGAATTGAACATTGACAAAACTCATACAGTGTTTCTTTTCTATAAAATCTAATCAAAGGACTTGATAGGTTTTAAGAAGGGACTCAACACGGGGCTGTCTCCTGAACCGCTTCTGCAGCTGAACTTTTGACTTCTTTTCTCAGTAGGAAAGTTACAGAACTTCACCTCAGTGGTATCTGGCCTTGCCGATAGTTTTAGGATTATTCATCTCCCCCCTGGGACTGATATATTTTATGTTACCCTCATGTTCTCTCATGATCTTCGCCACAACTCCCACCCACATCTCGCTACAATGTTATGAATGGAAACACTGTTGGTGGTGCACAAAGACTTGAAAATTATATTTGAAAAACTCAGGAGCAACATGTGTTTCGAGACCAAAGCACAAGTGACAACTGTTCTCAATATAAACCGGTGACAACATTAACATTATGGTTCACCAGTAAAGAAAGAAGTATCTACATCTTCTTCTCAAGTAAAGGTATAAATACAACAATGTAAAAATACTGCATTGTGTGTCAAATTCATGTGTTCAAACTCTTACTAAAGAAAACAACAGAAGTATTATCAGCACAATGTAAAGTATTAAAAGTAAAAATACTCATTATGCAGCTGAATGGCTTCTCTCAGTTCATATTATTACATGTTAGATTATTGTATTTTCACTACTGATGCATTAACATGTAAGAAGCATTTTAATGTTGATATAAAAATGAATCATATTGTATATGTTTATCACATATTTGGATAAGTGTGGGTGTTAAATACAAGTAGTGGAGTAAAAGTTAGGCTACAATATTTACCTCTGATATGTAGTGCAGTAGTATAAGTATAGTACATAATATAAAGCACAATACTTGGGTAAATATTCTATATCTATTGCGGCACTGTGGGATACTGGGTTTAAAATAAGGTTATTTGTTATATACAGCTAATAATTTACTGTATAGTGTGTGTATGCTGTGATCCCCATGCAGGTTAAAACTGGTCTAGTTTGAACAGATGCGGTCAGCTCTCTCTGCTCTCCACCTCCCCTGACTGATTCTGCACACACAGTGGAGGTTGGAAATAGTGATGATGTTGTTTCCTGGTCAGCAGGTGGCCGGGTTGACGGAGAGGAGCAGTTGTAGCCGGTATGAGCTGGACCTGGTGCAGAACCTGTCTGCAATGGGAACCAGACCCAGCCTAGGCCAGATCCAGAACCTCTCTGGATCTGGTCCAGAGGTCGTCCTCTCCGGTCTGAAGCAGGAGGGCTGTAAAGATGGATGGATCTACAGTACAGAGTTCTACCAATCCACTGCTGTCACAGAGGTACTGAACTATTACTACTGCATCCCCTCCACATACTAACACGATAACAGTATCTGTAACTTCACTGTTTTTGCTGTTGCTATTGGTGACACCCCCTCCTCCTGCCTACTGTATGTTACTGTTTAGACTGCAGCATGTTATATAAGGATCCAGTGTGGTCACAACAGCTTGTGTCTGTAAAACCAGGACATCTTGACCTTTCTCAGTGGTCACCAATCATTGACTGACCTCAGATGTCTACAGGAAGCTCAGATTAAAAACTAGCAATGACTGGATTGGGGTCTTGCTTATGTCATCCATCTGAGAGGTGTATCTGTGCCACAACTTCTGGTGCAACAGCTAAATTTCCATTTTACCTTTATTTGAAAATGGATTTCAAATTCTATTTTGGTTGTCCAGAATCCCCATAAGTCCCTTTGTCTTCCAGTTTAACCTTGTGTGCAGTGACCAGTGGAAACAACCTCTGACCTCTCTTGTGTACTTCCTGGGAGGGGTGTGCGGATGCTTCGTCTCTGGCCAGATCTCTGACCGGTACTTTACACTTTTAGCTCAAACTGTCTCCCGTAACTAATCCTCTCAGCTGCTACAAGTCACCCTGGACATTCAAAAAACTTAAGCTTTCATGGTCAACAACATCCTCTGCTGATGAATACTGCCAACAATATCTTCAGCCTTCAGTGTCTTTCTTCTTGGGCATTAATATCTGAGGACTGTTATGTGGCTTTTGTTGCTGACACCACTCTGTTGTATTTGTACTACAGGTTTGGCAGGAAACCTGTTCTGTTCGGCTCTATCGCCATGCTTAGCATCTTCAGCGGCGCTCTGGCTTTCGCTCCGTCCTGGTCCGTCTTCACTGTGCTCTTCTTCATGCTGGGCATGGGTCAGATCGCCTGCTACATAGTTGTATTTGTACTAGGTAAGGATTATTTCCAATTTCAGGACACTGTTGTTGTTGTTGTCAGTTGTTGTTGTTTTGTGTTGATCTAAATTGTTTAAATTTAAAATGTTCACCATCTTCTTCTGTCTCTTTGGGCCTTGTATTAAGTCATAGCTTCCAACCCCAAAATAAACATAGCGTTTCCCCCCACAGGTTCAGAGATCCTGATTGGTTCAAGCAGAGTTCTCTTCTCCAGCTTGTTTTTGCCTTTTGTCTACGTGATCGCTATGATGCTGCTGCCTGGCACTGCCTACCTGGTCAGGAACTGGAGACAGCTGTCACTGGCCATGACCGTGCCCGGTCTCGCCTGTATTCCCCTTTGGCGGTAAGATTACCTCAGTACGCTATCAAGATAGAAATGCATCTTATGTACTATATGATTAATTAATAAGTGACATCTTCATAGTTTGACTTGACTGTTTTTCACAGATTTTCATCATGGTTCTCAGATCATTTCTGACCTGGCTCAACTCTGTACAACAGAAATTGATCAATCAGGATGATCGTACTACCCTATAAAATAGCTGAAGTTGAAAAGGTTTTAATGTTTTATCTTTTAAGGTTAACAGGTTAATCTGTGTAGCTTTCTATTTACCATTTGTTAGTAATTACCTTGAAACATTATGTATATATATATATATTGCCGTGGCTATTGTAGGCTATATATTCTTCTAATGAATTACACCGGATACATTTTTGTGTTTGTCTGTCTGTCCACCAGGCTGGTGCCAGAGTCCCCTCGCTGGTTGGTGTCTCGTGGCCGTTTGCGGGAAGCAGAATTCATACTGAGGTCAGCAGCTCTGAACAACCAAGTGGAACCTCCAGACGTCATCTTCCTGTCAGCCAACGTAAGGACCTCATAACCTCAGTCTTATCCCACACTCTAAAGGACAGTGGTCAGAAGTTTCTGTCTCTCCACAGGTTGAAAAGACAATAAGCCAGAAGGCAGAGTCCCTCAGCTTCCTGGACCTGCTGAGGACCACGAACATTCGATATATCACACTCATTCTGTGGCTCATCTGGTGAGTCAGAGCACTTTTACATCTCAAAACCTTCCCTAAGAATTCAGGAACTTCCCCCTTTTTTGCCTTGCTATATAGCAATAGCAAGATTGAGTCGTTAGTTCATCAAGAGCAACAACAAGGTAACCTTACCTTCCCTCTAGCATCACCATCTCACACAAGCAAGGTTATAAACTAATGTTCAGATTGCCCTGACATTTCCTGATTGCATTCCTGTGCTCCAGAGGGTGAACCCTTTAGATTTTAATGACCCCCACGATCTTTCCTCTAACACCACCCTCTGTACAAACTTTTAAGCTCCACCACTCTAAAATCTTTAAAACCAAATCATCACCATGTTGTTTGTTCTGTCCATTACTGTAATACTGTTGCTGTTACCAACACTGCAGCCTCTACAGGACTTCAGATTTTTAGTCTTGTTCTCTTGTTGTTTGCAGGTTTTCTATTAGCGTAAGCTACTTTGGGTTGTCATTCAACATGTCTAGCCTCTATGGAAACCCCTTCCTAAACTACTTCCTGCTGTCGGCCATTGAGCTCCCAGCATATGTCACTATCTGGCTGGCGGCACGCAGTCTTCCTCGTCGCCTGTCATTTATATCATTCACCTTGCTGGGGGTGCTAGCACTGCTCCTCATCCAGGTCACTCTGCACAGTGAGTACAACAAGTACGGTGTAGCTGTACTCCTTCACTTCTTTCTTTCTTTCTTAAAATAAATATTCATCTTATTAAAGACTTAAGTAATGACTGTTTCATAAGTGCTACCCCCCTAGTCAAGGATTTCCATTCTTGCACCACACATAAGCAGTTTACAATAACAGTTGCAAATTTACCATTGAAATTCTTAGTAATTTTTGAAACAATGGACCCTTGATTTCAGACAGAGGTAGATGAAAACAGCTTCTCATTTCCAGCCAGTGATCGTTAATTTTGCTGTTTTTATCAGCTGTAGTGTTAGGTAATTGGCTAACGCTAACTGTAACCTGCAGTCTGGGACCAGGGTGATCCATTCTCTATATGTCCACTGTAATCATATCTGGAGGCTCAACACAAGCACCCAACAGACAGCTGCATGCTGTTTCTTGGACTTTCAATATATCCCCCGAGCAGCATAGTACTACATGCTGAAGGTTCCTGTCCACGTACCTGCTGCAGGTTGTACTGTGTTGCAAGGGGACACCTTATAAATGAGAAATAATGCAGCTGTCTGCCTGGTGCCTAATTGAGCCTCCAGATATGTTTACAATATACATATAGACAGCAGGAACACCCTCTTCAGCTCTCGCAAACTCGCTTGAAATCTCTAGGATACAGAGATTTACCTGCTGCTGAAAGGCTTGTGTAGAAGTGTAGTAGTATGATTAATGAATTAATGAATTCTAACATAACCCTGTTTGGATGCTTATTATATAAAAACATACATAGTTATGTTATGAATGTGCAATCATTGGAGTTTAGCATATATTCTTATGCTTCACAGAGGTTCAGTACCTCTAAGCTTTGTTTCCCACATCACCAGCTTACAGTCCTCATTCTCCCTATAGGTCAGCCAGCTTTCACCCTGGCCCTGGTGCTGCTGGGTAAATTTGGCATTATGGCTGGCACCGGGATGTTGTATATATACACTGGTGAACTGTCTCCCACGGTCATCAGAAACACAGCAATGTCGACATGCGCCATGTTCTCCAGAGCGGGGTCCGCTGTTTCTCCATACCTGCTGCAGCTGGGTGAGACTTCTCAGTTCATACATCATACTGTATAAACAATAACTTTATAACACATTTGATTCGTTCGCACCAATTTGTTCATGTGTAAAGTTCATACCTCATACTATATTCATACTTCATAATACTATATTTTGAGTGATTTTTTTGGTGTGCAGAGAATCAGAATACTTGCTGTCGTAGCAGTTGTAGAAGCATCATAAATGGCATCAGGAATGTCATAATTTATATCATGGTTCTTTGGTTCTGAATCAAGGTCAGGTTTTTAAAGAGTCAGTTCATCCTAATTGCAAAATATGTTGTATCTAACAAAACAGTAAGTTCCAGTTTTACATGCTGAGATTTGAGATACGTCTCTGACACTGAATAATCCACACACTTAGAAATTGTCCCTATGAAAACCGTTGATTGGGTGGGTGACCGAAATCTCAAAATATAGACAAATAAAACAAAAACTATCTGCATTCTTTTTTAAATTTGGGTGAACTGACCCTTTAATGCTCATGAAGTTCTGCAATGTACAAGTCTTGAAAGTATGAACTCTCTGTGACCTGATCTGTTCTCATCTGGTCTGGTTTCGTCTCCAGCTGTGTTCTATCCGTTCCTGCCGTGGATCGTTGTGGCTTCTCTGTCGCTGCTCAGCGTTTTCCTCTGCATCTTCCTGCCGGAAACATTCAGGCAGCCGCTTCCTGACACCATTCAACAGATGCCGCCCACACAGAGGTAAGTCTGCAAAGTCATTTTACAATTCTCACTGTCACAATTATTAACACTAACAGGCACTTAAAGTTGTATAACTTAACTAAACTGGAGCACCATGTCACCAAAAAACAAACAGTGGGCAGCAGGAATCAGGAGTATTAACCTGATGGCAGTACATACCAGTGTAGACCCCATATACTGTATATCATACTTTACTTGTAAAAGTACCAGTAGAAGAGATTAGTTTGCTCATTTCTAAACAGCACTAGCTCAATGTCTGTGTAATGTCTGTGGTCCTCCTCCATAACCTGGCCTCCCTCAAACCAAAGCAGTTTCTTGCTTTGAAATGATGGCTCAAGACTTGTGTGTCTAGGCTGGTGACAAGAGTGAAAGCACCATTAGTGTGTATCAGTATGAACAAATCCTAATCAACGAATACTCAAACTGAACTGACTATATGGAATCACCATTTTCAATGAGCTTGTATGCTTGTATTGGCTAGTTTTGTGTTGAACACAACAGCTTGTATCACAAACAGACTGAATGTACTTCTGTACTGAAGACAGTCAAAATCAGTGCTGACTGTGATGCATTCACTTACTGATGTTCATACTGAAGTGCACTGGAGCGCACAGGAAAAAGTGGACAAATTCAGTCTACGAACATGACTATGGATCTTTGAAATGAACTGAACAAAAGTATTCAGATACATACATATAAAATTCAATATGAATACAAATATAAATAAATACAAATATATGTGTAAAATATGTATGGGAGGAAAATATACCAATTTGAATTACATATCCATTACAAAAAAATTGCTAAAAATATATAGAACAAGATAAGTAAATCAAAACGTAAATAAAAACACTTGGATGAAAAAAACCCTGTATTGCAGTCTGATCGATGCACCTCTCCTCATCTGGCTTCCAGGTTCTGGTTGCCATGGGCCTCCACCCCTCCTCCAAAGGATGATGGGAAATCAACTAAAGAGCAGGCCACTGCACCCGAAATCATCTGCACAACTCGCCTATAAGACTGCTGACACACAAACAAATGAAAAAGTAAAACTACAGACAACACTTAAACTGCCCAAAACATCAAAACTGTTGTATTTTATAAAAGAGATTTTATTCTATTATGACAGGATGGTGGTGTAGTTTCTTGTGTCCACCAGGTGGTGACTTGTGAACACTTGGAAAGGACCTGCAGAGCCTTTTGTGATGCATTCACTGACACCTTAAGAAGCAACTATAGTTTATGGTTATTCCATACAGTAAGGGAATCTCATGCAAAGCTTTGCTGAAAATAAAGAGTCACAAAACAACTGAATGTATTTTTCCATTAAAGTCAATGGAAAGAACGAAAGAAGAAAGAAATTTTAAAAACCGTTACTCAGAATCACACAGCAGGTTACTTCAATTACTGTAGATCTAGTTTACTGTGTTGCTGCTCATGGATGAAACACTGGTGCATGAATTCAAGTCAATTCAATTATTATTTATATAGCACCAAATCATAACATACTTTACGAAGTAAGGTCAAGACTTACAGCACTATAGAGACAAACCCAACTGTTCCCACCATGACCAAACACTCGGTGACAGCGAAGAGGAAAAACTCCCTTAACAGGAGGGGGGGGGGGGGGGGGCGTTGGTTAGACAGTAAACCATATATGACATGGTTATGATTTTGACAATCAGTCTCAGCATGAATATGAAAATGGACAGATATTTAATCATAACCATGAATTGAAGTTCACATGAATGTGAAACCTGTAAAGTCTCCTGTAGCAGCTGGTGTAGCATTGGTATTAGCAGTCGTAAAGTTACTTTACAAGATTCAGGATTGGTAATATATTAATATTAATATATTTATACAGAATATATTGTTTGGTTTCTACCAGTATAATCAAGACAAATATAAGGTGGTGTATATATTTAATGTGATGTATGAATTAATAAATCAATCAAAACATGTACTTTCTTAATGTCTAAACTGTGCACTGAAATGTCATCTCTTTAAATTATAATAATTCTATATTCTTTACTTTTGAATGTACCTTGTTTTTTTTGTTTTTATTTGAACATAATTGTCATTGTGAAAATAGGTTGTGCAGTTTCTGAGGGCGCCTGAATGCCTCAGTGGTCTGAATTAGGTAGGGCGTGGCCTGTCTGGCTGTGACTCCTCCCCGGACACATGACTCCAGTTTTATGAAGTTGCAGTTTTACTGGGAAAGAGGCAACCAGTCCTTCAAAATTAAAGCAAAAAAAGAAAAAATATGTTTTTTTTTTTGTTTTGTTTTTTTACAGAAATCAAAATACGCGGTAGTGGCTAAATAAATAAACACAGCTTCTCTTGTTAAATTGTGTCAAAAAAGTGTATGGCTTTGAGAGCTAAGAGGGAGGGTCAGTTTCCAACCCTATTCTTCTTATTGCTTGGTTTTCTCTGAACCTCTTTCCTCTGACTTTGATGAAACTCACTATCAGTTTGTCCCTACATTTTCCTCTCTCCTCCCTTGTTGTCCAGAGCCTGTCTGGCTGTCTGGCGCTCCTGAGAGACTCCAGGTGATAGGCTTGTGTCTTCAGTGTTCACATTTTGATGCAGATACGGTATGTCAATTAAAGGTATCCTGTGGAGGTTTCTTGTAAACACACGTTATGTGTTCATTCATGTATCCTTGAGGTGTATTTTTTAAAGCAATTTCTCCATAAAGTACTTGCAAATTCCATTTTTAGAACATTTTAAATATTTATTTATTTTCAAAATATTTAATATTAAAATAAATATATGAATAAATAAAAGTTAAATATTTTCTGCAATGTACAGTGGAGGTCAATAAGTAGCCAAAAACAAATTTTTACCCCCAGACCCCTAGGAGGTTCATCCAGCCATGCCACCATGGTTCCTTCAGGCTTTTATTTTGAATGTCGCTTCACCGGAAGTCAAGTTCATTTATTCGTCTTCACTGAGGCTGCGCAGAGCAGCAAGCTCCACCGCCTGTTTTCTGTGTTTCTACTGTTGTTAAAAGCAAACGGAGAGGACGCTGAAATCTGCAGTGCTTTTTGAATGGAAAACAGATTCAGTATCTGTTGATCAATCAGCCCGAGAGGAGGAAGAGGAGGAGGAGAGGAAGAGCTGCAGAAGAGAAGGAGAGACAGAGGAGAAGAGCAGCAGGACTGGGAGAAAAAATCGGGACAGTATAAAATGCTGCAGATTTAACTGAAAGGTAAGAAAAATCCGCCTGATCAATACTGAATGCTGATCGATCTTGAAGTTGTCGATACTGAGTGGATCGAGTCTGAGGTCAGGGAGGTTTGAGCCGCGGCAGCCGCAGCCCGCAGCCGCTGAATGTAGGTCATTGTGTCTGTGGGCCGAGTCGAACCAAGCCGAGACAAACCGAGCTGGGCCGGGCCGTCCTGCAGCTGTAGCCAGGCCGCAGGCAGGCTGAGGCTGGGGAGGAGGAGGGTGAGGACGAAGACGAAGCCTTGCTGCAGGACTGACTGGTGCTGCGGTAACCAGACTCATCCCAAATACTGCTGCTGCTGCTGCCACTACTAATCATGATGATAATAATGATAACCACATTTGTACAAAATTAATCAAGCTATTATTTTGAAACAAAGTTAAGTAGAATTGTCAAACAATAAAAATCTGTAGAGAAAGTTTAGTAAGTGTAGGAAGTAAACACAAAGTAAAAGAAATGATGGAATATTAAAGACCCTGAAAACCTTGTTCCAGATTTTGAGTTTTTCCTCAATGACGATAAATATCAATGTCTAAAAAAGCAACAATTAAAATGTATTTATTAAGAGTTAAACTCTAAAGTACTCATGCAGGCTGCTTTATCAGGACTGTGTGGGTGTGGTGTGATCAGATGTGATTGTCAACACAAAGTAAAACCCCACAACTGTCATCAGATATTAATTCAAGTATTTTCGGAAAAAAAAACCTGATTCCTGCACACGTGGCATTATGTTTATTTTCCAAAGATCCCCACCCACTTCAAACCACAGAGAAGAGCACAAAACGCAAATACATGCATTTAAGATGACTGAGAAACATCTTCTCTGACCTTTTTATAATAAAAAGAAGCAATAAGGAACGAATGGAAATTGAAATGATACAAACATGAAAGCAATGGACATATCATTACTCTAAATCAAAGAGAGATAAAGATAGGTTTTTGATTGAAGCCAAATCATGTCCATTACTTGAATCATATTAAGCAATAAGGCAGAACTAATTTTAACCACTGGGAACATTTTTGTGGCTGAGATCCCCCATTATACATTGTGAAATAAATACAAGTGTGAATTCACTACCGTATGGTTGAATCAACCAATAAATAAACAGAAATGTAAACTGACTGATTTACTGGCTGACTGCTTGCTAACACACTGTTGAAATGGTCAGTAAATCACAGACTGAGCCGAATGTGAAGCCAAGAATCTGAATCGGCTGGGAGAAATACCAGCTGAGAGAAAATCCTGACATAAAATCGCTGTCGTGTCTCTGTAGTCCCATAATACTTTAGTGGGTGGGGTGGGGGGGCGTCTGTGCTGCTGCAGTGTTTAATAGTGATCCGATAGGTAGTTACCTTTATCACCCATAACAGGACTGTCATATTTCTATAAATCAGTACAATTCATACAGTAACGAGGGTTCATACTGAGTTTTGCTTCCACTCTGAACCTGAGGACCGGTGTTTACTGTTTATGCCTGAGGATGTCTGGATCTGTGGAGTGGACCAGTGTCTCACATCGTGGTCTACTGTCTGAACCAGTAGACTCGTGTGATTTAGACAAGTCAAGTATTTTTAGCATGAAATTTCGTGTTTGTGTTACTGCCTGTGGAAATACAAAGAGGGGATTTAACACTAACTTTGGCTTGATTTGGCAACTGCAGACTGCCTGAGCCTCATATTGGCCTCCATTTAACTTAAGAATGTGTTTTTTTAACCAAATGAGGACTTACAACACAGTTATAAATAAAGGGGTCACAGCCAGAGTCGACAGGAGTCGTTTTAAGGTGAACTGGGAAAAAATGTGAGCCTGACCTTTTGAGTATTGCTTGCCTGTGTGTCTCCAGATGTCAAACGTTACCATGGAAGCGACCAACATCCTCGCCATCCTCAAGAAGAAACTGGCCTTTCTGTCCGGTAAAACACACACACACACACACACACACACACACACAAAAATAAGATAACATGTCTACTTGTGTTTAATCTCATTTTACCTGCATTTGGTGGTTAACCGGATTTCTCCCCTCTCTGTGGGTCTGTGTGTCTTTAGGGGGCAAAGACCGGCGCAGTGGTCTGATCCTGACCATCCCCCTCGGTTCAGATCAGACCAGCATGGAGGAGCTCAGCGCCACACTGGACTACCTCCTCAGCATCCCCAGGTACACGCACACACTCGTGCAGTAGTCGCAGTGCTGGCAGCAGCAGTGACAGTTTGTTGTTGTGTGTCTGTGTGCAGTTGTGTAAATCAAAGGCTGTTTTGTCTCAGTGGTAATACCTTTGGACATGTTTGGAGGTAAACTGTCACTGAAGAGCTTCTGGATCTGTACTCTGTGTCTTGGCTCCGGTGTAAGAATGCAGCTTGTTCAGCTGCACTTGAAACGGCTTAAAGGATGATTCCAGTTTATTACAACTTGGGTCTTACCGCTCTGATTATAAGATGACTCCTCCTTTTCCCAACAGCTGTTTCTGGAAACGTGTTGTTTAGTTTTTAGTTCAGCTTGGGTCAGATGTGAGCTAAGAGTTGTTGTCATCTTTAACAGAGTGGATGGTTTTCTGATTCATTTACATGGTTATTTTCATCAGGCTGGTCTTTGTATGTGTGGTCTTGTTTCACGTGTTTCATTGTGATGCTTTTACGCAGCAGTTCCTTATATCTGAGACAAATTTCTCCAATGGGAGACAAGAATTGTGACCTTGACCATGACTTGTTGAACACAACAATTTCATACGAGTCGTCCTATGTTTGTGTAGCTTATTTTTCAGCCACAGACTCGCACTTGTCTTTCTTTTTGAGGTCCTCATCTGTTTTACTTCTGCATGAAGATGTTGGGGTGATTCCTCCAGGACAGATTACGCAACCTGTGATAATCTCCTGTAGTTTAAACTGGGCTTCATAAAAACCTTAAAAAGTGGACTAATTCTAAAAAAATACACTGTAAATGAGCTTCAAAAACATCAGTGCTGCATACGACCCATAATGCAACACTCTCTGTAGAAGCTGGCGTAACAAAGAATATCTGATTTCATGAAGGCGTAAATGTCCAGTCCTTGAGTTTAATATGATCCCATCTTTTTTTCAACATCATTTCCAGGAGAAAAGAAGTGTCTTATATTTGGCCCAGCACCGTATTTTTCTGGATATTGGATATGATTACATTGTACTCACGTTGTACTCACAAGCAATTGATATGACGTGAGAACACAGCAGCAACTTGGCAACAGCAGTGTTATCATAACTGACAAGACGATATCCCATACTACAAAAACAAGCCTCAAGTTGTAGTTAACCGGAATTATCCGTTAAGTAAATCTGCCAGTCGACATCATTATGGTTTGCTTTCAAAAGCTAACCTCTGATTTGGAAACGCGTTTTTCCAGTCTAAGTAGTTGGACTTTAATGCATCACTCTGAGCACTTCTAAAGCTGCACACTTGAGCAGGAAAGTCTGTACGTGAATGTAGATGTGTGTTGTTCATAGTTTGAATCATATCTTTTGTTCTATAAAATGCCTCCCCTCTCTCTCTCTCTCTCTCTCTCTCTCTCTCTCTCTCTCTCTCTCAGTGAGAAGTGTAAGGCTCGAGGTTTCACCGTCATCGTGGATGGACGGAAGTCTCAGTGGAACATTGTGAAGACTGTCGTGCTCATGTTGCAGGTACAAACACATTTAACGTCGCTCCAGACCCAGTACAGAGAAACATGAGGCCCAGTAATTCCTCTACATGACGGTGTTACCTTGTCCTGACAATTAACAGCTGATGCTATTAATGCTGTTTCAGAATGTGATCCCAGCCGAGGTGTCGCTGGTCTGCGTGGTGAAGCCAGATGAATTCTGGGATAAGAAGGTCACACACTTCTGCTTCTGGAAGGAGAAAGACCGCCTGGGCTTTGAGGTGAGTCTCCCAGCTTCAAGTTTCCTTCATGCTCACTCACCCCTCCAGTGCTGAGATGGAGGTCTTTGTGGATTCTGAAAGTTTGTACCTGACTTGAAAAGAACACCTTATTTAACTAGAGATTTTCTCGATCTGAAGCCATTTTTTAAAAAAGAATTATTTACATTTGTTTAAGTGTGAAAGCTGCAACTGAGCTCAGGAACAGTCCAGAACGCTGGGGTGGGGTTTGGTTCCCTTTTCCACTGCAGTAACTTAACCTGATATCTGAGGCTTTCCATAACCTAAACTTTAAAGAACCTCAGGAGGCTGTGGTGCCACGTTTCTCCCTGTAGACTCTGACTATATACAGTGTGTCATTAAAAAAACAGTGGAGCCAACTGTGTAATTTAGTCATGCTTGCAGCATGGCTGTAGGGGACTGTTGGATTGCAATGAAATGTTTTGCTGATGTACATTTTGCACACGCACACTTTTAATAATTGGATAATTTTTCCAGTTCTTGTTACAAATATGACTGTGCTGATACATTAAGCTGAGATGGTGAAGGTGTCACTGTGAGCTTGTGAGGATTTAGTTGAAAGCAGCGCTGAGCTGAAGTGCAGCCGCACAGAGCTGCTAACGTGGCTGTAGAAGTCTTGTTACAGCTGTGGGACAGAACAATGGGAGAACCGGCGCTGATCTTTTTGTTGTTTGTCTTTGACAATCTTTGGTGCTGATTCCAGGTTCCTGCCGAGGACCACACAAGCTGGTCGGCCCAAAAACACTGTTTCCCTTCTGATCTCTTATTTTTTTCTATAAACTTTTTAAATGTTTAATATCTTTTATTATTTGTTCCCTGAACTCTCATGCTGCGTGTGGTATCCCACATTACAGATGCTGCTGTCGGATGCTGAGAAATCTGGTCCATATTTTTGTTTCTAATTGTTGACTTTGGCTCCCTCTGAATGACTTCCTCTACCCAAACACTAACAGCTTCTTTCAGTGTTGATGAAATGAACTAGCGTTGTTTTTGTTGTCTTTGTAGGGGTTTATGTTTTGACTGCACTGAAAGGCTGCTCGGAAAGCCTCTTTTCTGTTGTTGTTATGAGGACATTTTAGTATTAGACAGACAGACAGACAGACAGACAGACACACACACACACACACACACACACACACACACACACACACACACACACACACTCCCGATTTGTGCCGTTACCTGATATCAAACAGAGACGAACTGAGCCTGTTGTAATAACCTTGAGCATCATTAACTGTCCTGAGTGCTGCTGGAAACCTGAGCCAGGATCGATAGTGTGTGTGTGTGTGTGTGTGTGTGTGTGTGTGTGTGTCTGTGTGTGTGTGAGTGAGTGAGTGAGTGTGAGAGAGAGAGAGAGAGAGAGAGAGATTTTCGGCCAGCTTCCTCCTGTATTACAACAGATGGTTTTACCGACAGAGATCAGTAGTCACTGTGACCCAGATTTCTGCGGCCATGTTGGCTCAGACCGCTAGAGAAAAATCTCCCTGTTAGTGCATTCAAGGCCGCGCCGACATGTAAGAGTCGGCTGATGAACAGCAACAGTTTTGATTCAAGGAATGAGTCAAATTCACAATGTCAATGTTTGAGCTGTGGGTTCCTAAACATGTAGTTTGTTTAGATACTGAATATTTGAATGAAGAACTCTTTGGTGCCTTGTTGAAAGAAAATGTGCTGAGATTGAGCTTGTTGTTTAAGTCTGAGTGCTCATCTTCTTCACTTTATTTTAATACTTACACTCTTCTCCTAACACACACACAGCTGCTGGGAGGGAGATTCTTGGGACAGTGTTGAAATGTGACTCATCTTAACTATGGAGCGTGTGTGCGTGTGGATGTCACAGTGGGGTGTGTGTCGTACAGCTGCTCTAAAGTCTGACCTTACATTTAAATAAACACACACACAAGAAACACATGTTCTAAGTCAACTTTGGGTACATTACATAGACTTGCATTAATTTCCTGGAGGGTAACGCTAACCATAAACACTTAGAGTTAACCTTAACTTAACCCCACCGCTAACCATAACTAAATCCTACTGCTAACCTTAACTTAACCCTACTGCTAACCTTAACTTAACCCTACTGCTAACCTTAACTTAACCCTACTGCTTACCTTAACTTAACCCTATTGCTAACCTTAACTTAACCCTATTGCTAACCTTAACTTAACCCTACTGCTTACCTTGATTGATTTAACCCTTCTGCTAACCTTAACTTAATCCCACCACTAACTTTAATTTAACCCCACCGCTAACCATAACTAAATCCTACTGCTACCCTTAACTTAACCCTATTGCTACCCTTAACTTAACCCTACCGCTAATCTTAACCCTACTGCTATCCTTGATTTAATCCTGCTGCTAACCTTAATTTAACCCTAATCTTAACTACTGAGGTTAAGATTAGGATTAAGGTTTTTCACATCTTTTTCCCAACTGAGAACAAAAGCCCTTTCCACAATAAACCAGCCTGTTGTCTAAAATCTGTCCCCAAAGTATCCTGTGATACACACACATGCACACACACTGAGCTGAGTCCAATATCTCTGACAGCATCTGCTGCAGCGACAACTGGCAGACAGACTCACTCCCAGCTGTCTGACTGTCCAGATTTATTTTGTAAAGTAATCTTTCATACACATGTTGTTCAGAGGGTTTTATGCAGTGATATAACAATGAAATGGGATGAAACATATGTGCAGCATCGGGAAGTAGAGCAGGTCGTCCGCTACTTAGAAGGTTGGCGGTTCGATTCCCAGCTCCTCCAGTCTGCGTGTCGAAGTGTCCTTGGGCAAAATACTGAACCCCACTTTGCCCCTGATGGCTGTTCCATCAGTGTGTGCCTGTGATGTATGAATGTGTGTGTGAATGGGTGAATGTGGCAAGAATTGTAAAGCGCTTTGAGTGGTCAGTAAGACCAGAAAAGCAAGTGTAAGTCCATACAGGTACACACACACAAAAAAATGTTAAACATAGTTAAATGTTGTAGTTAAAGCTAAACTTGTGTGTTTTTCTTCGGAGAAGATGTAAAACCTCAGATCAGATCACAGGCTCTTCATGAACACTGAACGCTCTATCTCCAGATTTAGAAAGTGCTCTCAGAAGAAGTTTGTCTTGTGATCCAAGAAGTCTGTTTAGCTGAGAGACTGAAGCAATGCTTGATATATAATCTTTGATCAGTGCTGGTACGTATGAAGCATCTGAGAATGTCCCGACAGTTTGGCTTATGAGTCGGTGAAAAGTTTGAGAACCTCTGTATAAAGAGGCTAAAAGTAACTTTTAGTCAGTTCTGACTGCAGTGACTCATCAGTATTTAGAAAACAAGGACTATAATCATGTCCCAAAATGTCATCAACCAATAGCTCCAGTGTCTGAGCTGCATCACCTCAGTCATCACCTAGTTAGGAGCTGAAGGTTTAAATAGACAATTCAACAATTTTAGATATTTCAAGAAAGGTTTAAAGTGAATTATCATATCCAGAACATTTCTCTTTGAGACAGTGACAGTGTCTGTGGGTGATTTTTTTTTTTTTTTAGCCAGTGAGAGGATGCCCTGAAGTATTTTCAGTCTGGAAACATTTGCCACACCTAAAGATTCCTTTTGGTGACAGCCAGCTGTGGCTTTCAGGCATCTAGAGAAAAGCTTATAGAAGATACTTCCTCTACTGCTGCGTTGACAACATCAGTATATGATGTTTGTTTGTGTTTTTCCAAAAGGGTCAACACAGGGATTGTGTCTGATTTGTCATTTCAGTGTTTTGTTCCTCACTGTCCTTTAGCTCAACCGTATTCTTGTGTTTCACGGCTCAGATTATATACTGATTATTTCACAATTTATAAGTGATATTGATATGTTTAATGTGAAATTAATAAGAATAATACCAGCTGTGAATGTTTCATATTATTCATGCTATCTCTATCATTTCATGAACTCTTTAATGTAGTGTAGGGGATGTGGGTGTTGGCATTGTCTCTGTCTCTTTTACACTTAAGTTTTACTGTGAGCGGGTGTATGTGTACTGCAGAGAGATTTAGAGATAAACTAAAGTTAGCGCTGTGTTATATTTAAACTGAATGAAATTTCATATCGTAAAAGCCGCAGTTTGAATGCAAGAACCTCGTGTTTGAACAGATTCTTTCTCGAGTGGCACGGTACAAGTGATTTAAGAGAATTTGTGGCATTCAACTGGTTTTGTTGTTCTCTGAATTTACTCTTAGATAAGGATGAAATTTACGAGATTTTCAGACCTGTCGGACCAGTCATGTACAGATAGTCTACCCGTCTCCACAGAGGGGAAAAAACATTTGTTTGACATATGAATCATGATGACTTTTATCTGAATCAATTTAGAGTTTTAAATTAACAAAAGTAAAATGTATAACAAAAAAAACTAAATTAATATTCTCTTCATCATATTTGTCATATTTTGACAGTTTACAAATCTGCTATTTTTCTTCATATTTTATGATTTCTGTTGCCATATTGTGTCACAATAACTTATACAGTTCAGTTGTAAGGAACATTTTCACACTGCCAGCTGTACGCAGGACGCTGTCCAACACATGTCATCCACACATGACACGTGTATCGCACATGATAGTGTAACATCAGCTGCTGTAGCCTGTAATACTCACTCGTCTGATATCTCAGAGACTCCATCTCTTACATTAGTCATGGACCACTTAGCTTTATCAGCTCTTTATGTTAAACCGCTCTCTCTGTGTGTCTGATGACACCTTGTTGACTAATGTTTGTTGTTTGGGTTTTTTTGGTTCCTCTAATGCAAATACAGACTCTAATGTTTTTGTCTGCTGATTTCCTGAACCTCCACAGTGTCAAGTTCTTTTTGTGATTGAAACTCACAAACCGAGCAGGACGGGCAGCTTTATATGGCAATTTTAGGGGCGTCAATCAAATGATAAAATCTCCTGAACGCGCAGATCCTCATGAACAGGTGGCGTTCATCAGCCTGAAACGAGCGATGCACGACAAGTTTGTGCAGAGATTCAGAATAAGAAAATGAAAATGTTCTTCATGAGGCCCATTATTGTTGCTGTCTGATTAATATGCTCCCTGCATGCTTTGTGTCTGTGCCCTGTGTCAGGTGATCCTGGTGTCGGCCAATAAGCTGACGCGTTACATTGAACCCTGTCAGCTGACTGACGACTTTGGAGGAAGTCTGGACTACGACCACAACGACTGGCTCAACAAGAGACTGGTCACTATCTTATTTAAATAAATCCACGTGTTTCATACTTTTATGACTTAAAATGCTTGTTGCCGTGGTAACCTGGCACCAGGTCTGAGTCAGTTTGTTTTGTATTTTGTTTGTTTGTTTGTTGCAGGTTTTTGAGAAGTTTACCAAGGAGTCGACATCACTGCTGGACGAGCTGTCCATCATCAACGACAGTGACAAGAGCAGCACGGTGGACAAGGAAAAGTACGCACACGCACACGCACACGCACACGCACACGCACACACACACACACACACACACACACACACACACACACACACACACGCTCACAATTACAGTTTAAAGTGTACTAACAGTAGACAGATGAAATCCAGAGCTGTGTGTCTATCTGTCCTCTGCAGATCAGCTGACTGTGCCCTCTTGCCCTCCTTTGACCCTGAGACTGTCCTTCAGACCGGTAAATATCATCGTTCAGACCTGCATGTCATTGTGTAAACGTGATGGTAATGTTACATGTTGCTCTGATAGTCAGGTCAGAGCACATTCAAAGACGGCAAATTGAGATGACAGTTAAAAGGCCGACGAAAAGTCAGATAAAAAGGATCAATAATTGTGGATAAATCACAAGAACGGCTTAGGCACATGGCACAGAGAACAAGTAAATAATAAAACCAGTGTCGCCAGTCATGTAAGATCTTATAGTGAATGTCGAACTACTCCACAGTTGAGTGGAAAAAATGCCCAGGCATTTTATTTTAACTGGAATGAATGGAGCATGAAAATAGGAGCAGTGATTGGTCAGGAGATGTGAGGGGACGATGAGTTCTAGAGATGTAACCTGGTGCCAGTCCACGCTTTGCTTTAAAAATAAATAGAAGAACCGGCTGCAGGCAAGAGCAGGCCGAGTGACTGATCCTTACGTAATCAGCCACATGTTAACGAGATTGTTCTCTTGTAAAATATTTTTTCGCCCTTGAGTGCAGTGAAAACGAGGGATAAAAAACTTACTGTTTACACAACTACACAGCTACTGAAATATTTCTCACTTGTGGTCATGAGCTCTGAGTAGTGACTGAGAGACTGGAGTCGTGGATCCAAGCAAACAAAATAAGTTTCCTGTCGGTGTATCTGGGCTCACCCTGACCCGGAGGATGTGGGTGGACGGGAGGTGGTCTTGGTTACTCAGCCTGCTGCAACTAAGACCTGGAGCTAAACAGAGACTAAGGATGGATGGATGGTTGGATGAATGATGGATGGATGGCTGTGTTCACTGTACTGAGCAAGCCTGTGTCTGTGTGTTGGGCAGAGGTGAAAGGAGTCTTTGTTTGTGGTACCACCCTCCTCCCTCTACCAGCTCCTTTCATGATGTAACAGCATGTACACAAACGCTGATGAATTATTGTTTCACATGCTTTTATAGCACAGTTAAATCTCAAATCAACCCTGTCTGTCTGTCTGTCTGTCTGTCTGTCTGTCTGTCTGTCTGTCTGCCTGTCTGCCTGTCTGTCTGCAGGTCATGAGCTGCTGTCGGAGCTGCAGCAGCGTCGCTTCAACGGCTCAGAGGGAGGAGTAGGAGGACAGGGAGGTGAGGAAGCAGCTGTCAGTCATCCAGAAGTGACTGTGCTGGTCCAGCTTAGACAGATGGATGAATGAAGTTGAATGAAAGTTTTGTTTATTTCTCTCTGAACTGTTGTTGTTGGAGATGGGCGGTTGAATGCAGTCCTTCGGCTGCTCCAGAGTACTACACCGGCTACTACAGTATGAAGTAGAGTATAAGGGTACAGTCCACAGAGACTCTGTTGTAGCGTCTCTGTCCTCAGAAGCAGCAGACGAGTAACATCAGCAGGATGCTGCAGAATGAATGTGGGACAGATCAGACACCTCCTTGGTGATACTGCGTCACAGATAAGAAACCCAAAACCATAGCACATTAATGTATTTGGCAAGAAACTGCACTGTTATTATTTATTGTTTTGTTTCACAGCAAGCAAAACCTGAAGGCACCTGATATAACTGATATTTTTCATGTCCTGAAAAGGAGTCAGTGCAGGCGTCTTTTGTCTGATTACACCAAAGATAAGGAGACGTCCTGGACAGTAACCCCACAGGTCTTCTTTCTGACCTCTGACCTCTGACCTGCAGGTCCAGCCTGGTGTCCAATGGAGGAGGAGCTGTTGGCTCAGCCTCAGGTGATGAAGCTGCTGGACTCTCTCAGGGAGCAGTACACCAGATACCAGGAGCTCTGCAGGCAGCGAAACAAACGCACCCAGCTAGACGAGATCCACACCAAGGTCATGCAGGTAATGCACACGCACACACACACACACTGACACTGAAGACCAAATTGCTCTGGATAGCCTGGGCAGCCTGTGGATGGCAGGGAAGCACTTTGTCTGTTAAGTTAAAAATCCAGAAGCCAGAATCATGATTACATCTCCATCTTTTTGTTTGTTTGTTTGTTTTTCCTGCAAAAAAGCAGCAAGACTAAAACATAACTGAGACATCATATTGTACAGGACTTTATGTGCGAATTGAAGATGAAAGAAAGGAGATATATTTTGTTAATAAGTGAGCTTAAGATTTGCTGGTAGGTGTGTTCTTTTACCTTTGGACAGAGCCAGGCTAGCTGTTTCCCTCTGTTTCCAGTCTTTGTGCCAAGCTAAGCTAACTAGCTACAGGCTGTGACTTCATACTTACTGGACAGACACTTGAGAGGTATCACTAACTCTCATCAAGACATCAAATGTCAAATTATTTCCGTAATCATGTTCACTGCTGCTCATACACTTTTTCAAACTACACAGATGTTTTCCAAGGCGCTCTGACCATCTGTGTAAAGCGTCTTTACAAGTCAAACAGTTCATGTCTGAACAGGATCTGTAAACACGTCCTCCACACGCTCACAACTCTCTGGAAACATTGTCCAGTGACAGAATCAGCCTCCTTAGTCTCTAAAAGTGTGTGACCTCGATTCTTTTATCATCCAGCCTTTGACCTTTGACCCTCAGAAACGGAGTCAGTGAGCAGCTTCACTGCTCCACAGCTCCTCAGTAGAGACAGAAAATACTATCGGTAATGGGGTTCTAGCAGCCTCAGGGGCTGATGGGTAACACCAATGTCTTGGAGATGAGCCTGGGGTTGCCATGGTAACCACAACATGTCAGTCGCTAGCCTGGAGGATTTGAGGTGGGGGGGTTGGCCTAGTTCTGGATCGAACTGTGTGTGTGTGTGTGTGTGTGTGTGTGTGTGTGTGTTAGCTCTTGAAGGCATCACTGACCTGATAAATACAATTAAATCATGATACTGGCCCACACACATCTGGATAGACAGTTCCAGATGTTACTGTACACTATATGTTAAAATCATAGTATAATCATTGTATTAGACACTTATTATTATTTTAACTATATAATTCAATAAAATTAAAAAGAGAATAAATAAAGACACAATATTTTTCCCCCTTTATTCTCAGAGTATTCTCAGACTCATGTCTGTCAGTGAAGATTAAAGGGTCATTCCACTGATTTTACACATGAAGCTGAGTTTACCTGTTTACCTTCACGTTTTGAACAGGCGGCTGTTAAATATACTATTACTATTATACATTATGTATAAACTGAATGTTAAACTTCTATAATCCAATGAAATAGCTATATTCACAACTGAGGTTAGATTTGCACGTGAACCAGCCTTTAGTGAAGTAGGATTGTTTTGGAATAGAACCTGGAGGGAATAAAGTTTTTTTTTTTTTTTGTTAAATGGCGTGAAGGGCCCTGGGAGCAGTGGTGTTGGAGCTGTAGCGAGGCCCAGGTTGGGGATAAACAGGAGGCTTCTGGGCACCTGGCACTACTACTATGCCCTGGCAGGCCCGGTTTGGGGAAATTCCACGCTGGGCTGGAGACCATTGCTCCCATGGCGTTGATAGGTTCGCTTAAGAAAATAGGTGGAGAATCCTAAGAAGGAACTATACTTGATGCAGCGGCGCTCTGTCTTCAGTTCAGATCCGGATCTGATCTCACTTTTGTTCTTGTGAAAGAATAAATTCTATTGCATTGGACTCTGACCATCTCCAGTGACTTCTTTTTTTTTTTTAATCTTTTTTGACTCCAGTAAAAGTGCAGTTTTGTAGAAAGTTAAGTGTTGGTGAAGAGGTCTAGACTTACACTCTGGCCCAGACCTGGACTTTTTTCTCCAACAGCAGCTGTTGAGACATAAACTTGGGTCACGGAGTTTGAAAGATGTGGGCATAATGGTAAAATGTAGGATCCAGTTTTACCCACACAAGAGACTAAACGTCAGAAGATCTCCGCCTCCACTCCTAGCCAATTCATCATCTTTGATCAGCTGTTGGGTTTAACTTCAGTTTTCTATTTCATGTTTCTATTTAAACTTACTTTACTGTAACATGTGAATATATTTGTGTTGCCAAAACATATCGAGGACAATACAAGGTGGATAAAAAGGATGATAGTGATTTTTATAATTCTGTTTATAACTGTTTAAGAAAATATTTATGCAAAGTCAATGTCAAAGAAAATCTTGATTTGACTGTGATGTGATGTGGACTTCAACATGGAGACCAGTGGAGCCTGAGAGCCTCCTGCTGGTCGCTGTGCTGCACTGCAGCTCAGAGATTCACAGAGACTGAAGGGTTAGGCCGAGTTAAAACAACAATATGTCTCCCAAAAGGCCTTTTTCACAGCTGACATTTTGACATGCCACAGTAGGAAAAGCACTGGTGGAAATAATAAAATGAATCATGGCTGAACTCCATTTAGCTGCTTCAATTTCAGGCTCCTGGTTGTGTGCATGCTGGCTCTCTGTCACACTGTCACAGCTGACTGGTCACAGCTTCTTGTCGGTGTTTGCAGAACAAGTTGTGGGAGTTGTGGTTGACTTCTCACCTTACAGTTTTATATACACAAGCTTGTACACTCAGCTTTTTATCAGACAAGAACCGAATATTTTCTAGTACAGTTGTTCCTCTCATGTACTGTACTGTACTGTCTATAGAGAAAATGAATGGCACTTTTACTTAAGAAATAGTTCCTCCCACTTCTCCCTCCAAAGGAGATCACACGGTCTTTTAATTGGTTAAATTTGTCCGTCTACAGCGATTCCTCTTTGTCTTTCTCTCAGGTGGTCACGTGGCTGCAGGGTCCGGGTTCAGAGCTGTTGAAGACTCATCAGGCGATCGGAGACTCGATGCGAGCGGCTCAGGCCCTGCAGCAGAAACACGAGGAGATCGAGAGCCAGCACAGTGTAATGCAACACGATGAAAACACACGCACAAGATCATGTGACGAGGGAAAACTGGGGTTAAATACAGATATGAGCGCAGTTTGTCTTTTGATGCTTCCATCATCAGACATTTTACTGACACTGGTGGTTCACTGTGAGCATTGGGCTAATTTTGTATCTGTGTGTGTGTGTGTACAGGAGTGGTTTGCGGTGTACGTGGAGTTGAACCAACAGATTGCTGCCTTGCTCAGTGCCGGGGAGGAGGAGGAAGTGGCGGAGCTGAAGTCTCTGCAGCAGCAGCTCAGCGACGTCTGCTACCGACAGGCGGCTCAGCTGGAGAACCGACAGAACGTCCTGCAGGCGGCGCAGGGCTTCCACAGCACCACACAGGAGGTAACACACACCGTTAGCCTCGCTCCATCAAAGGAGAAAGAATGTAAAATGTGATTTCTTGGAATTTAAGGGGCTCCTCAGGAGGTGAACTGCTGTATCAATAGTTGGTCTGTTTGCGAAGTACAAACTAAAACCTAAAAAATCCCAGGATGAAGCCGACTTGTGTATGTGATGTGTCTGTCTCTGCAGCTGTCCCAGCAGCTAGACGGTCTACTGGGCATGCTCTGTGCTGACGTGGCTCCAGCTGACGGAGCTTCGATTCAACAAAACCTCAAACTTCTGGAGGAGAAGCTGCAGACTGTCGGTTCGTGCTCTAATATAAGCCTGTGGCAGAGCAGTGACACATTAACCGCTGGGTGTATTAACGTTCCTCTGTGACATTCACCGTCTCCCCTCCGTGCAGAGGCGGGTCTTTCTTCTCTGCGTCAGAAGGGGTCGTTGTTGCTGGAGCAGATGTGCAGCCAGCCGTCGTGGACTCTGGAGGAAACCGAGAGTCCAGCTGGAGAACAGCAGGACAACGTTCAGCACATCCAGGCCGTGATGGACGAGATGCAGCTCCGCAAGCAGAGGTTACTTTCTCCTTTTTTTTTTTATTTTTATTTTTTTCTTTTCTTGGATTTGGATCTGTCTTTGTTTCTATATCTTACTCCTGAGAGAGTGTGAATCACAACTCTCACCTGTACAGGCTGCAGAGGATGCCCATGTTCTTCTGGTCACTCAGAGTAAAACACATTTCATACCTATTCCTGCTCCACAGAGGATGAGCCATTTACATTTTAAGCACCCCACCTTTGCTGATAGCTAAATGATCAGAATGGTGTTTTATTTTGTTTCGTTGTAGCAGGACTTCCCATCGTTAGGTTCTGCTGTTTGTTTGAAGCCATGAAAAGAGCGTGTGTCTGTGTTACAGATGTGAGGACATGGTGGACGTGAGGAGGCTGAAGATGCTACAGATGGTCCAGCTGTTCAAGTGTGAAGAAGATGCTTTACAGGTCAGACACGCAACAGCAACAACACATGAGCACACATGTATGTTCCTCCTGTATTGATGAGATGATGATTGTGTGTGTGCATGTGTATGTGTGTGTTCAGGCAGTAGAGTGGCTTGGCGAGCTGCTGGACGCTCTGTTGAAGACTCATGTGAGACTGGGCGACGAGTCTCAAGAGACCAGGACCATGTTGGACAAACACAGGAAGTTTGTGGACGTGGCTCAGGTGAGAAACTTCCAGACTAATTTCATCCATTATTAATGCAAAAATATTGATTAGGGCAGCTTTGATTAGTAGCTCACGTCCACAATCATCTGTTTGTCTCCGTCTTCCTTCAGAGCACCTACGATTACGGCCGTCAGCTGCTGCAGGCGACCGTCGTCCTCTGTCAGTCCCTTCGCTGTACGACGCGCTCGTCCGGAGACACTCTGCCGAGGCTCAACCGAGTCTGGAAACAGTTCAGCGTCAGCGCCGAAGAGAGGCAACAGAGACTGGAGCTGGCCCTGACATTCCACACCGCCGCCGAGAGGGTGAGAGAGACTGACTGTCAAAATTATCAGCTGACGTTGGCTAGGGATTAAAAGCAGTGTAGTCGGCTTGTGGAAATCTACATCACACGCACCTTCACACCCTGTTGCAGCCACACAGACGTTGAAAATATAATTGTACCTTCACTACGTGTGTTTCAGGTGTTACAGCAGGAATGTGTGGAGGCGGAGTCTCTGGATGAAGTCGACTCTTCTGGGAAAACCCTGTTGGACAGACTGACAATGCCTGTCATCTTCCCCGATGGGTACACACACACACACACACACGCACACACACACTCAAGCCTGTTTTTACCAAAGAATTTTCTGACATTCATTCCTGGAAGATCTACCCTTACCTAAACTATAACCACTACATGCCTGACCCCGACCCTATCCTGAGTTCAGTGCCCCACTGTGTTCACCAGCGAGTCTCTAACTGTGTCTGTCTGCCCTTTGGTGCTGAGCAGGTAGTGTACTGTGGGGTTTTAGAGATTTATAGCTGACCTGTGGCGGACGATGGTGAACAAAAACTATTTATTTATTTTATCCATTGTAATTATAAAAATATGGATTAGTCTTACAGTCTAGAAAAAGTCAAGAAAATTTAATGATTTTCACTTTTTAGCTTTGTGTCCTCACATAGGAGGCGAGTCCCCATAATGTGACTGTCTTAACGGGTTTTTGTTCTGTATTTAATGCAGTTTAATGCACAAACACACACACATACACACTCACTTCATATAATACATACTTCTAAGTCAAATTGTTGTCGTTTCAGGAGCGAGCAGTACTTCGGGAGTCCCAGCGACACAGCAGCGGCAGCAGAGGGCGTCAGAGAGCGCCTCCTGCTGGTGGAGGAGCGGCGGCTGCAGCTGCAGGAGGCGAGGCTTCATAATGACGACAATGTGGAGGGGGAGGTGCGAAACGGGCAGGAGGCGCGGCTAGACGTGATCGGAGAGGAGCTCAGCGAGAGAGAAGAGCAAGAAGAGGAGGAGGAGGAGGAGGAGCAGGAGGAGGTGGGGCAGAAAGATGAAGAGTTGGAGAGAGCTACACAGGACTGCTGATGGACAAGGTTAAACCGAGCAACCTTAATGAAGCTTGTTAATGAAGGGCTGCTGATTCGTTTACACCGAGACCTGCGATTTGTCGTCCCCTGAGCCAATGAAGCCCTTGATTGGTCGTTTCTGTCTCGCTGCAGCAGTAGGTTGCTCTTACTGCTGCTATTTCTCTACATCAGACGACATTACCCATCAGCCTTGTTGCCTCCCCTTCCTTCAAGAGGATGAACATGTCTCTCCGTCGTGCTTTCACTCCTTTCAGCAGAAACTGTGAAAGCTTTACCACTGTTTGCCCTGGAAGAACAGTACCCTCTAACTTTTTCTTTCTGCCGTTAAGCGATCCAGTAGATTTCCTTCCTAACGGGACCTGTGGGATCAAAAATGTAAAATACTGGAATTATTTACTGGAATAATTAATACTCGTGTCTCTGGATGCTCTAATGATGATCGACTGTAAAAAAATAACCTGTTTGGATAAGAAAACGCCTAACATAAACACCTCCTCCTCCTTCCCTCCCAGCATGCCGCTTGTTGACCTAAGTGGGCGGAGCTTCCATGGTGCTCACATGGTTACTAAAGTTTCCGTCTGTGCCTCTTCCGACTTTCTCTCCTTTCTTGCTTCATCGCCGCCTTTTATTTGCCTCCGCTAACAAAAGATGAGGTTGGTGTTTAGTAGCAGTACAGGAACTCCAGGGGCGGAGCTTCAGCATATCAGGTGTGCAGTGACCTGATCCTGTTCCTGCATCAACAGTCCCGTACATTTCATCTTCAGACGTTTTCAGGTGACTGTCTGTTGGAGCTTTTCAACACCGGGATGGACATGAAACTCTCCCGGATGAATCACCAGTACAAACAAGCTGAAAAAAAAAAATTTCTGCTTTCATCAACAAAAACTCAAAGATGTAAGACTGTTTCTATAGCAACTTGAGGAGAAAAGTCAACTACAAGTCCCAAAGAGCATTGCAAAACAACAAAAAACAACATCCAATTGGCTCAAAGTCAAATATTTACTTTATTTGTGAAATCCCCTCGCAAGTCTTCATTAAAAAGTCGAGCTGAAATTTGTTCGGCATTCGTTAAATCAATGTTGTACCTTTTTTGAGTTTGTATTCCGAGTGGAAAGTCGAGGACAGGTAGCCTAGCTTGCCATTGGCAGCTCTCACACACTCAGCGCTGTGTTTGTCCTGCTTCATAGGAAGTTTTATTTTGATCTTGGACTAAGATATGTGGATTATACACCAGGCTTTGGCTGTAAAACAATACGTAGTGTTATCTTTGTGAATGTATTTTACAGGATAATCCACTTTTTTTGCTGCAAACACTTCGATTACACTCACTGCACTAAAGGCATTTGCTGCACTCTACAGGAGGATTTTGGCAATTACTGATTTGACCAAATAAATACACAAGTGTAAACACTAACCAAGGAGAGATAAGTTAATAAAGTTCGACTTTATAATTTAATTTGGACTTTAGGCCTGTTTCTTGTTGAAATGGTCTTTGGGACAGCAGTTATGACATGCGTATCCATGGTGCTTAAACCTTTCAAGGACCCAGAGGCTCCGACCACTTTGCTGCTCTAAGTAAACCCTCTGCCTTCATGATGGAAATCCAACCCGTGCTGCTCGCTCTGGTCCAGACTGACAACAGAGACTGAGGTGACCTCTGACTCTGCTGGCGGTCGAGCGTAGAGAGAGAGAGAGAGAGAGCGGGTGCACTGGGACTGGTTTGCCGATATGGTGACATCAGAATAAGAGATTCCTTTTCTATTTATTTGACTTTTTTTTTTTCAAGCCAACTTTGCTGTTATTGGTTGCTGTTTTTGACCATTAACTGCTGCTGTAAGTGTAACCGCTAAATGCTACGTCTTGCTCTCTGTCCATTCAGTCCAATAACATACAATGACATCAGTATGACCTCATCCCCTAAATAAAGAAGCTTTTTAAAGTTGCTGTCCGAGATGGGTTTTTTTTTCATCTGCTTTATGTTTTTATATTAATTACAAAAAATGCTTACATCAATTGACACAGCAACAAGGATGAAGACATGTTTATTAAACATCCTAAGGCCAAATTAGCTCCAAACTCACTCAGTAAGCAGAAACTTCTGAAAATAACAAGCATCAGTCCTAACTTTAAGACTCCTAAGTTTTTTTTTTTATCCAATAATAATTCAAAGCCTTTCAGTGCTAAAACTAGCTCCTCAGTCTGAGAGAAGTTAGACACAGGACTCCTGAATCATAAGACCTGCTCTGTCAGTCAGCTGCTGCAGGCAACACTCCTCACTGTTAACATTTTAAAAGCGTAACTTTAAAATCACACTGAGGTTTAAAATACCAATAAATCTTACAGAGTGAGACATTCTCTCTCCCCCAGTCACTCATTTTAATAGAAACACACAACTCTATTTTTAAACAGTGTATTTAAAAAAAAAAAAAAAAAAAAATCTATTTTCACCATGACCGTAGTGACTGTTAAACATGGAAACATTAGAATTTATTATTCTAATTAAATAGATTACATCACTATGCAATAACTTACATGCTGACATATGCATACTCATTCCAAAAAGTTACACCCAGCAGCAGTACTGTCCTCTTTTTGTACAACAGTTACCACTAGAGGCCAACCGTACAACATTCCCTACTCATGAAAATACATGTTTATATGTTCTGAAGACTGACAAATACAGTTTGAGGTAAGTTATGTAACCAGCTAAAGACGGACACTGTCATGATATATATTTTTCTGTCATCTTCCAGGAGCCGGAGTGGAGGTCCAGGTCTGGTGTTGATTTCATTATTGATGGAGCAGTACAACAGAGCTGCGATTATGCACCAAGTCATGGAAGTCTTTAAAGTGTTTGTGAACAGTGCAGGTTATCGCCGGATGTCCTTGTCCAAAAGGTCTTTGGCCTCATTGATCTTAGCAGCGAGATACGGTGACCCACCTGCACACACACACACACACACACACACACAAAAACACCTTTTAGTCTGATATGACATCATTTAACATTAATACATAGGAATGCTCACCCAATTTCTGGCACATTTCAGCATGTGTATCTGACATTTGAGTTTTGTCTTTGTCATTTTGAGGGTCAGAGATAGAAAAGGTAAACGGAGGTAAAAGGAAACCTGTCCTTAGTTAAGCAGCAGTTGAAGTTTACCTTTATCTGGATGGTTCAGGACCATGATCCTTCGATGGGCATCACGTACCTTGGCCTTAGTGCTGACTGGGCTGCACATAAAATGAATAAAAAAATTCATGTGATAAATAGTAACACACACGGAGAAAAGGTAAAACAAACAAAATATTTACTACAACTCATTCTATTACCTGATGCCAAGAATGAGGCTGGCCTCTCGTTTGGACATCTTCTGCTCAAAACCTCCTTTGTAATACGACGAGAAAGCCTAAGGTGACAGAAGAGCATTAAATGCACTGATTATCAACAGTCTGAAGATAATTAAAAACTTTGGAATGGATTACATTTAATATTTGTTAATTTGTATTTTTCCCCTAAAGTCATAAAATGTGAAACAATGCCAGGCTTTTCCCTGCAGATCTAAATTTAAGGTATCTCAAGTGTTTCTTTAAGCCATCTACAACTCTTACAAAAAAATAAAAACGCATCTTAAGTGCAGATAAATTTGCAATCTATCCATATAACAAACAACTGAAAAGTGAGATGGAAAATCTATTAGAAAAAGACTGGACATGAATTGCACAGTAGACCCTGATTAATAGGAGGTTAATAAATTACTCACTGATGTGGGCATCTTCTTGACAGTTTCGGAGAAGACTTGTCCAAGAGGCTTCCACAGCTGGAATGCATAGCGGCCTGAGAATCAAACACAAGACACATGAAACACATTCATAAATTAAAAGGGAGCACCAGGAACAAATCTGTAAAGAAAACTTCTCTTGCTTTAGAAAGTGTATAATAATAATAATAATAATAATACTTTTGAAGGCAGAGTAACAATTTGAGTGATGGTAAACGAAAACCTGGAGAAGATTTCCACACAGGCATATCCAGAGAATATCATTTTGGCAAATTACTGATCTTACATCAAACTTTTCTTACCTGCAAAACCTGCAGCAGCCACACCAAGACCGACTGCGATCAGAGTTCCTCCCTGTCACCAAAACAAAACATCCAGCAGTTACCACCCTGGGTTAGGAGGGTCATATAACACAGCTAGATGAAGATTTGTGTGGCAGCATTAGTGTGTCCTGTATGATTCACTGTTGAGAAAGCAGCAAGCCAGTTTCTGTCGCTGTCTAATAGATCATATGTTCAATAAGCTAAATCAAAGGCTCTCTACCCAAAACCACGAGTCAATGACTGGCCTTGACGGTGACTATTAAACTCCCTGATTTTGTTATTTCAAAACAGTTGCACTATAGTTGCAGATTAGATTTCTGTAAACGGCTTTATTGTCAGACTGATGATCTAAATTAGTCAGATTGTGTGGTGTTAGATACATTAAAACTATACTAGATTTAAACCTCAATAAATCTTTAGATTACCTAATTGTGACTAGCTAGTTACCATGAATGTTCAGGTGAGGTTTACCTGACTCATGTGGTTTAAACGGTTCTGATTTAATAAACAAACGTACTGAAGGCTTACACGTATCGGCATATTGTAGGAAATGAGACAAAATCAACACCCAACAAATTCACTAGTTGTTAATGCATCTGATGCAAGAGCATTGACAGGCCGTTACATTAGCGGTCATTGAGGTTACCTAACACAAACTTTAGCAGGTAAAAACCATCTTGGTTTAGTTTGACAGACTCCACAAAGCTCCTCAAGGTGACGAAAGATACTCACCAGCCGTCTGTCTATCTCTGCGTCGCTCCTTGCCGTTGTTTTTGGAGTGTATTCAGCATATCGCATCATGTCTCCTCCATCCATGGTCACTCCGCTGCCGCTCGCCATGTTGTCTCCCTGCTACGTCACCAGAGTTCATCCGTCTTGTACCTTTCAAAATAAGACTCAACTGCTAAAGCCGCTTCCTGTCAGAAAATAAAATGAGGGTTTACATATTCTGAGATAAATTGTTAAATACTATAAATACTATACCGCTTGCTATTTGGAGTTGACAATTTTGTGATCTTTAAGCTACTCTAATCAATATTTTTGAATAAAAATCCCCGTCTATGTGTTCGCCAATGCTGGATTACCAAGGTGCCCACAGACCCCAGATCCCTTGGGGCCCCAAATGCTTCAGGCTTACTACATATAATTTGGGTCTACATAATTTGGCACAGTTTGCTAACTTAAGCACATTGGACGTTAGACTGTCATAAAAACTACAATAAAAGTGTCCTGGAATCTGAAACAGAAGAGAAAACAATCGATTTTAATTTGAAAGAAAAGAAATCTGTGTGCCCTTTTTGAAGACCTAATAATTTTGTCTCTTGCTAAAACAATGTTAGAGGCCAGTTGTCATGTTCTGAGCAAATCTTTGTCTATGTGATCATAAAAATTAAGCTCAAAATCAAACCTTGCTGACAACTCCAGTACTGAACCTTGAGGTGAGATTGTTTGTCTATAGCTAATATTCACTGTGATTTTTAAAAGTTCTGTTAAGAGGATTCCTGAATTTATTCTGGTCCAAATTGAATAAACACGTTCCATTTCACATGAATGCCACTAGATGGAGCTATTGAAAAGTGAAACATGAAGTGCCACAAAATGAGTTTGTGTATTTGCACAGAATAGGGAAGGCTTCTGGTGAACAATATTTACTGATAAATATTGAATTTTGTGTGTTGCACTGGAAGTTAGCAGTATCCAGTGTCATGTTTACATGTCTTTGTGTATATTGTGTTTGTATTTATTCTTGCCTTGCTTTATTTGTGGCTGGAGTTTATTTGCTTGATTGTTTTAATGATCTATATTTGCTTTTGTTATGTTGTTGTTATTAGGCTTTGTGTTTTCTTGTCGCTTCATCGGTGCTTAGTTGTGCATTTTATGTTCGTATTTATTATGCTCTTATCTTTTTGCCAACTGTTGCATATGTTGGTGAGTTTTATTTGTTTGCATTTGTGCTTGATTTGTATTTGTGTTTGCACTTTGCACTTGTATCTGTGTGTGTGTGTGTGTGTGTGTGTGTGTGTGTGTGTGTGTGTGTGTGTGTGTGTGTGTGGTGTGTGTGTGTGTGTGTGTGTGTGTGGTGTGTGTGTGTGTTGTGTGTGGGTGTACAGGTGTACTCTGTGGCCCTTGTGGACCCTCGACATGATTAGGGGTCCAGCAGGAGTCTCAGAGCAGGGAGCAGGAGCGCACAGGAGCTGATGGAGTCTTGAGCCTGGAGCTGGTTTCTATTGTCCCCAGTAATTGGATTTGGTCTGGGAGGAGAGATGACTGCCAGTGAGAGCCTACGATCATTAGGTGTGAATGAGACGTGTGGTGCCAAGGCTGAACACACACACACACACACACACACACACACACACACACACACACACACACAGATTGGTATTGTGCTGCTCAATAGACACCAAATACACACACACACACATGTCCACACTGCTCTGGTCCAAACTGAAATTGCTGTATTTATGTCAAGCAGCAGTCTACCTGTGTTTTCAGATATTTCTTTTAGAAGCTCACCTCCTCACTAAAACATTATAATAAACAGGACAACAGCTGAATCTCTTCATCATCCTCTTATGGTCACCTGCCGCAATAATATAGCAAAACTCACTGTATTTCTGAATGTTTCATGAAGCAAGACTAGGAGTTAAGACAGGCTTACTGTAAACTGTAGCTTTTTAGCACAAAACTCAGTTTTTTTTTTCATAGCAGTGGCTTTGTTCCTTCACCTACCTGCTGAGCCAATTTGGGACTTTACTGTTAACCTGAATGTTTGGAGTTGTCGTTCATACACCTGTGTGAAAGTACCGAAAACTTCTGCTTGTGTTCTGCAGGAGTTGAAGGTGAAGTTTGTGTCTGTGTAAGTGGGTCTTCATGAGGAGAGGGCAGGTCAAAATGTGCCTCCTCACAGGGCTGGCTGATTGTACTGCAGGTAAGCAGTGGCTGTGTGACGTTTGGAAGAGAGAAGAGAGGATAAGCCTTTTGATTTATGTGACAGTCTGAGATTATCATTGATAAAATCGTAAGAATAGGAGGGTTGGCAATTTTTTACATATATAAAGGGGTGCACAATGAGCATTAAGCTTCATGGAGTAATGCTTTCTCTTAAGCAGTAACAACAGCAGCACTCTTCCTCATAGACATCTATAGCATACCACTTAGGCTACTTGTGTTAGTGTTTCCTCCTATGAAACCTGTCAGGTCATATAACCAACATGCAGCAGTTGCGTTGGAGGAGAGCAGATTAATTGCAAGTAAAAAAAAAAAAAAAAAAAATAGCCTGTGTTTTTGTATGTGCTTGTCCAAGTTAATCAGTGAGGGAGAAACATTTTACTGAGCACACACATACACGTGCAATGTTTCCATGGGGACCAAGCAGCCACTCTGTTCTTCAATAGCGGGTGAGTGAGTCGAGGTAGACGGCTATTGTGTTGTGTGTGTGTTCGGGGGTCGGGGTGGCGGTTCGAGAGGGGTTAGGGGGAGCAGTATTAAACAACACACTAGACAGATGAAAGCACTGCACATCCTTAAATCTAATCATAATTTAGTCATCACTAGAAGATGGTATGATCAAAATAAAGCAGGAAATAGGCAAGACTGACAGGACAGAGAAATAGCTGAGTGCATGAGTCAAGGGAAGGGAGCTGTGAGATTGCTGTTTGATAGAAAATGATGGATCCTCATGGGCAGAGATGGCCTTATTCCTAAAGCTGATGCTTATTTGTTGCATCAATCCCTATATCCAGGCAAAGGCACTTAGCCTGAAAGGATTTCTAAAGCTCAGATGTAGCTACACTGCTACAAAGACAGTGACTTAGTCTGAACCACTAAAATCTGGACTTCTATTCATGCCTTTTATATGTAAAATTATGACCAAACAAATTACAAAAGCTACATGGAAATAGCAAGTAAAAGGGCCAAAACGTAGCAAATTTTCTCCAATAAGCAAAAATGTTTCTAAAAACAGAAAATTATGTGTCCATTAAGAAATTTTGTGTTGAACAGAAAGCATGTTAATACTGGAATAAGATGTTCCTCCTCCTCCTGTTTTTTTTGTTGTTTTTTTTTGCTTTTGCAAAACATGTTTCCAAACATAACAAATTCTGAAAAAAAAGGAAGAGAAACATCAGAAGATCACCAGGATCTACCACTTTATATCTGAGACATGTAGGACCATTATTGTGCAACAATGCTACAGACAAAGTAACATAGTAGAACCCATTGGGGCGACCTGACCCTCCTCGCCTCCACTGTGCAGAACTATTTAGACAAAGAGCACTCAGAGAAAAGATGAGGAGAAGGGGGTCCATCTGGGGTTTTCTCAAATGGGCCTTTGAAAGCCAATAATGATATTTCTTGGATTAGACCTACTGATAATAAGTAATTGGGGCTTATATTTGGACTACTCAAATTTACTCTCTTCCTGACAAAACATCCAGATAATGATATTTTTGCCTTATTCTCCTGAGAGTATTTTGTATTTTGTTTGTGTGTGTTTGTGAAACAGAATTGATCATTTATCATGGAACAAAGTTAAAAAAAAAAAAGTGTGTAAAAGTATTAATTAAATGATTTCATTTTCCAGGGCCCTGTTATATTTGTAAATATATAACCAATTTGAATGATTGTTGATATTTTGGCACAAATCTGGTCATGGTTCACTTCGTTCATTCTCAGTTCAGTGTTCTTGTTTACAGTTTAATTTTCTTATTTACGAGTTCTTTTTAAATTCACGGTTTGTTATTTTTTTCTTTCAAATATTCTGGCCGTAAATTACCTTCATCGATATTACTTGAGTTCAGTCACCAAGTAATTGATTTGGCGCAGATTTTTATGACAGGACTGCCTAATATTCGTAAACACAGGGCCATGACTGAAGTTACTGATGGTTAATTGGTCTGACGTTTCATCTGCAGCCCTAGTTAGCAGGGACGTTCATCATGTCCTGTGGATGCCTGTTGAATTAAGCAGAATATCAAAATTATGCCTACTGAGCAATTAAACAAATTAAAGCTAGATTTGACAGGGCCTTGAGATTATGTGAAAAAAAAGTAGAAATTACTTCAGTCCCTAAACATTTTTATTCTTTTGTTTGTTTTTTTGTGTATTTGTTTGCATTTAAACAAACAAAATTGCAAAATAATTTTTACCTTGTCCTTTGGTTTCCGTGAAAGTCTTGGGGCACTTGTCCTCTTTGCATAATGAGCAATCCTGCCTTGTTCAAGCCTTTATATAGACAAAAACACAATTGGCTTGTCTGTGGAATTCAGAAAGAGTCTGTGGATAACTACTTTCCCTTTCACACTATTCAACAACTAGGTGGAAACAGGCCTCAAACAGCATTACAAAAAGGACCATGCAGATGTTTTCTTAAAGTCAGCTACACCTGCAAACAGAGCTAATACAGATCAAATTAATATCACTGCATATCTGTGATAACAGTCAAATGTCTGTTGATTTACAGATACACGTTTTTAACATCCTTTCAAAGTCCTTTATTGGCCCCACATATCAATTTAGCTGTTGTTGGAACAACAGGAGATTACAGGGTCCTTCTTGAATGATGTTTCTGTCTGTTGGACTGACACTTTAGGTGCTGGGGCAGCTTCAAGCAGCCCATTAGGGAGAAACTATTCTCCACCTCTGCTTTGTCCTCCACTCTCATGTCCTCTTGCCATCTTGGTAGGATTCTTCTGTCGAATGTGTTGGGGCAGACGTAAACCACAACCTTTCTTTGTGAGGCTAAAATAGTAGGGATTTTTTTCATTATCCCATTTCATGATAATGAAAATAATGGAGATGCCCTGTGCATAAATCCTATAACAAAATTGGCTTGATGCGTAATAAGAATAATGAAAATTACATTTAATATAGTCATGAGCTGAATGAAACAATGGTGATGAATGCTGTTGAGCTGGTAGTATAAGTATAATTTTGAGGTACTTGTACTTCTATATAGGCTATTATATACTTTTTACTCCAAAATATGTATTTGATCAAATACATTATGATTTATTATTAAAGGCTAAGGTTAGATAAGACTGTATTGACAAGCTGCTCAGCAGTATATAAAGTAATTAAAATTAGCCCCACCTTAAGCTGCACATTATGGCGATGTATAACTTAATCATCAAAATCTTCCAATAATTTCAAATACTACAATATATATGATCTAAAATGGGACTTTCTGCTTAATTAATGCTTCTACTTTTGGTACTTTCAGTATATCTTGATGCAAATACTTTTGTAACTTTACTTTTATTTGAAAGTATTATAATATTATAGTATTTCTGTTTTTACATGAGTAAAAGATCTAAGTACTCTCCACCACTGGTGCATATTGTAAGTAAACAACATTGTGTTTTATGTGTTACACGGAACCTTTATCATGAAGCCTCAGTTTCATTCGGAGGACTTTATCGGTGCTGGACTATCAAATGACATAATGGTAAACACAGTAAGGTGAGTCTCGATTTATGTTTTACAGCTTGTGCACGGCACCAGTTTCACCACAAGACAAATCCGGCCCAGATCCACGGATACGTGGTTTTAATTTGAGCGAGCGACCGGTTTTATCTTTTGTTGAAATGACATTATTCGAGGATGGAGAGATGCTAGCGTTAGCTGCTAGCTGACTAGCCCCGGCTCACTTCACATTAGCTGGGGATGAAAACAGGCCTTGTTCGGCCAGCTGTGGGGACAGTTCACCGATTTTATACATGTATACACGGTGTGTGTGTCGTGATAAACCGGGTCTATCAGCCAGGTAGCACTTAGCAGAGGTTGATGTGGCTAACCAGCAGGCTGACCGTGGCTTCACCTCTGTCACTGTTTACTGCTGAGATGCTGACTATGTGTTTATAGATATTGGAGCAGAGACAAACACACACACAACAGTGCCGAGGCTTGAATGCGGTTGTTTTTCATTTCTAAATTGCCGCTAGCTTCATTATTATCATGGTGTATTTGTTTAAGGATTTAAAGACATTATAAACAGATAATCCGCGTCAGAGCTCAGGACCAGTGATGTATTCAGAGTCTCCATATGAGCTATCCACTTTCTGTTTAAAAAGTTCTCATCACATTTTGTGTTGAAGTTCAAATTTGTCATTCCAGCTGTAAAAACATAAAAAAAAACATCTACACGATTTCAGTGCTTTAAAACAGTAAAATAAAATATGAGTTTGGTGTCAGTTAATGTGCATACAGCTTAGTAAATACATAAAACAGTGTACAGATTACATACATATTTACATAGTTCTCCTTGGTACACTTGTGCATTGTTTTTTAAGGCACTGGGCAGGTAGGCTGTTAAAAGCATCTTGGAGAGCTTGTCACGGTTCTTCTGGGGAGTTAGTCCGTCTCAGTGTCGTCTGTCTTTTCATGTGATCCCAGACTGACTCCATGATGTTGAGATCAGGGCTCTGTGGGGCCCAGACCGACTGTTGCAGGACTCTTTGTTCTTCTGGTCTCTGAAGATAGTTCTTTACGACTCTGTGGCTGTATGTTTGGGCTCGTTGTCATGATACAGAATAGATTTTTGGGCTGATCAGACGCCGCTGTGATTGTACAGCGTGATGGATGCAGTTCTGTAGTAAACAACGTTCAAATAAGAAAGTGATCAAATGGCAGTTCAGTCTGATTGTCACTCAGGCTAAATTATGTGTAACCAATGCAATGTATAGATTTATGCAACAGTGGCGGAAGTGGAACTTACGCTAAGTATTTATTGGACACGATCTGATTTGTCGAGTCCAGTGATTTGGCGGTTTTCCTTGTGATGACCAGTGTCCAGGTCATTTTTTAGTCATATTTTCAAAAATCATCATTTGAAGAGAGAATGGATTCATGCTTTGAGTTTACCTCATCACTGATCAAACTATATCCGTCCCAGCTAATGTTGGCTGTATTGGCCTGACAGCATGAGTGAGTCAACAGGAGTTTAGTGGGAAGATCGATGAGTAACTTACTCGATGACGATGCTCAGTGAGTTCAGAGCTGTATCTGCCGGCAGATGATGTCAGAGTAAATATGAACAATATGTCATCTCGGGTGCAGTGAAGTTTTTATTTTATTGTCACTTTTTTCCTCAATTTTGTTTGTTTATCATCTAATGGAAATGAATGGGAAATATAATTTTACATGAAAGTAAAAAATGACTTTTAAATAGAAATTGATTCTCAACAAAATTCATTTGAGTGTCTCAGCTGCTTCATTGTAATGTTGGTACTGTTTACAGGCACAAAATGCCTTGGCGCTATGCCGCAGTCGATTGTGTGCTTTTGTGTGGTAAGCTTAATGCATGCAGTGTAAGCTAATAAATCCCCAAATAAAACCCATAAAGGGCATTAAAATCACTGTCATATCTGCGTTAATATCCTGTTTTTTTTATTAACATGATAAATTGTAAGTATTCAATATGTTGGCCACCTGACGAGAAATTCAATTTCAGTGATGTAATGGCCTTTAAATAATTGATATGTGGAGAAAAGTAAAAGAGGCTGCGCTTTAGAAGAGAGGAAAATCAATGAGGAGGAGAGAGCACAAATGAGAAAGAAAGAGATACAGAGAGAGAGAGAGAGAGAGTGAGGGAGAGACAGAGACAGAGGAGTAGAGAGAATCAGAAGAGACAGGCGGTCAAGCAGATGGATGGGAACCCCACCCAGGCCTGTTTCCTCTCTGCCTGCCCAGTCCAGTGATAAGCAGCAGAGGAGGAAGTCAAGTATTATTTCATCAGGACATGTGAGGGAGGATGATCATTTCTATTCGCTGCGGAAGAACCTGTGAAGCTGCAGTGTCAGTGTGAGGAAGATGCTGCAGGTGGGTAGGTGGTTCGATGCTTAAACTTGTTAAACTTGAGGCTTCAAAACCGTACTGTCCAACTCTTAGCACAGATTTAAGGAAACACTTGGAGCATGAGCTGGTTTTATGTATAAATTAATCACAGTATGTTTTTCTATCAGCTGTGTTTCCATTCTTTGTGTTTATTTCAGAATGCTTCCTCTTTACTATTTCCTCATTCTCTCTTCCCTTTGTTACAGCCAAGCCACAAACAGTGTCCATCCGATGACCTCACAGCCACCTGACAGGCCAAAAGAGTGCCACTAATAAAGCTGACAGTCAGTTTTGGCTTCACATCCTCCAGAATTTGTCTCCGCTCCCTGAACATCTCAGACAGAGCAGAGGGATTTCACTGTTTTTGTAGCCCGAAGTGTGTGTATCTGGCTAAGTATCCTTTTGCCGTCCAAGTTGGCTCGATTTGGAGACTCTCAAGCTGCTGCCAGTCTTGTTTACCTCTGGCATCAAGCCGCAGTAGCTTTCTCCCTTGAGGTAGACACACATCATTGAAAAGGAAGACTAACCCTGGACGAGGGCCCTATCTCGAGGCGAGGAGCAGGACTTGGCTTCAGATATCAGTTTGTGAAGCCTGCAGACTGCTCGGATCTTCTTCACCCCTTCTTAGCTTGTCAGCATTCCTTAGACACTTGTATTTGTCCAGCTGACAGCTAGTTTGCTTTGTCGGACATGTGCATGCTGCTAACAGGGTTTTTGCGGCCATTTTGGAAAACTATCTAGTTGTGAGATTTACAGCTCAGGGGAAGACCCAGCCATGGAGGGTCTTGAGCAGCTTGACATGGTGGGTGATATCAGCCCAGCCTTGGAGGCCACAGAGGACTTTATCCACTGCATGGATGGGATACAAGGCCAAGGTCCGAGCCAGGCTCAAACAGGGAACGTCCAGCCTCCCAGGCAGCCGAAGCAGCTGCAGGAAGTGTCCAGTGCTGCGCTGGGGAAGCTGAGCTCCAGCGGTGTATGGAGCCTACTGGCGGGAGAGCAGCCAGAAGTCGGGCCCTTGGGCCTGGCGTGGGCCGACAACTTCAGCGTGTTGGGTCTGGGGATGGGCTTGAGGCACGGCAAGAGAAGCCGGGCGCGCTCCACCAACGACCTGGCAGCCCACACCAAGGAGTGCACCAACAACACCGCCAACTCCTCGTCCAACTCAGCCTTCAAGAAGGGACACAACCGGTCCAGATCTGACGTCAACTACCGGCCGTCTGCCTACACTGACAACGGACTGCCCACAGTGGACTGCAACACCCTGAAGAACATGATCCTCAACCACCAGCAAGAGGGTGAGTACACATACACATGAATGTGAAAGAATACCTTGACTGAGTGGTTTTTTTTGATTGAATCAAGAAATGTATCATATCACGACACATATTTATGTTGCAATATAAAATGACATATACCATGATATAAGATTTTATCCACATTCTCTTTCCCTATTGAAAAGTATTTGATGTTAAAGGTAAGAAAACTGAAAACTTGTCACTGTTACATCTCTGGTCTTCACTGGTCCAAAAAAGTTGTAATTTAGCACTGATATCCTGAAATATCTTCTCCTCTGGCTGTCATGACATACCATGTGATCAGAGCCATACAGAGTACACTCTGATGCCGTCAGATCCACTCAGGTATAAAACATATTGACACACACATCGGAAGCCTGTGGTAGTAAAATGAGACTGATGTGTTCTGATGTGTTGTGTGATGACCTCTCCTGGATTATCTAGAGTAGCTGGGTCACAGTTTCTGAATTTTTCAAGTGCAATATTTCACTGCTGTGGGCACCACAAACAAACATAACCACCGTGGCAGAAGTCTCAGCGGCAGACACATCAAAACCTTTAGATGAAAATACGACTTTCTGCAAAACTGGCACTAAAGAGAAGTGGGAAAATGTGTTGTATCATCTTGGGTGAACAGACTCTTTCCTAACTGGGCGTTTATGGTGTGGAGAGCTGTTGTTGCTTTGACTCATTAAACATGACGCCATGTCCTCAGGTGACAAACTCATTAAACCTGAAGTATTCCTAATTCAAGCCAAAAGGGCCGGCCCCTACCTGTCAGGAATATGTACACCTCCTCCTTGCTGCAACGCTCTGATCAACTGTCCATTCACTGGAAAGCTTTTCTCAGCCTTTGAGAGGCTTTTGGAGGAAAGAAGTCCTGGACTATTTGTGCTGCAGATCGGGGCGTATGCTGTACTTATGTTGAAGCATCCTCAGAGAAAGCAATAATGACAGAAGATGATGATAACTTGAAATGACACAGCTGTGCTATGATAGTCAGTATTCAGGCAGAGAGCTGAAAACACACACACACACACACACACACACACACACACACACACACACACACACACACTCACACACACACACGCACACACACACACCATTTGTTTGTGTGTTTTGGCCATCTGAAGGCCTAAGGAGATCCTAAGGGATCCTGAGGGATAATAGCCTGTAATCCTGTCAGCAAATGGACTCAAATGAGGCGAGAGAAGAGGCAACCCAATTACCCGGCTCCTAACACTGGCAGGATTATTTAGTATTAGCATATGTGTGAAAAGGCATCAGGTTATTTAGTTTGGCTGGATGTGTATTGAAAGGAGAGAAGTAGGAAAAGGATGGTAATAAGCAGAAGGCAGAGTGATTTGGCTCGGCCTCGCTATGTCTCTTCATTCACACCGAAGAAAGTGGCCTGTTTGCCTTTCCATTAGTGACAGCTGGGGATGTTTAGATGGCAAATGGAAATGATGATGATTATTATCATGTACAGAATGTGTATATAAAACCAAACAGTATTTATTGAAGAACTCTGTGGGCTGCATTAATCTGATTTATATATTATGATTTTTATAAATAATAGGTCTATTGTGGTTGCATGTTTAGTAGCAAGTAATTTTATTTTCATTAAAATTCAAGGTTTATGCAACAGTTTTGTTGGCAGCTTTAAATGTGAAATGATGCACCTGTTAATCAAACTGAAAAAGCAAAAAAAAAAAACCAACTAAGGAGCTCACTAAGTTGCATTATGAACAGGATTTAATACACCAGACGCCAAACGTTAACAGTGAATCTATTGGTACGCAAACTCTTTTCCAAATGAGAGTATATGGAAGAATTTAAAAAAAAATACAATTTTACATTCACTGATGCTACTTTTGCTGAAGCAGTTATTTAAATCAATCAACCACAAAACACTAATCAAACCATTTTGATAAATAATTAATTGTCTAAGTCGACAGTAAAAAACTATTTGAAGATGTCACCTTGTGCTCTGGTGATTGTGGCATTTTTCATTATTTTCTGACGTTTTAAAGACTGAACAATTGATAGTTTCAGATTGTATGACACACAAAAAGCTTGAGTAGCTCTGGCCTGTCAGACTTCCCAGCTGCAGGGGTGCAGACTGGTAGTTCAGCAGGAATGCATAGAGAAACAGTTATCTTTTCCAAGAGTCTTGTGCTGGCCTGAAAATGTGGTATTGTGGGAACCCAACACTGGTAACCCAGTGAGCTAAATAACTGTCTAATACAACGTTCAGATACAATGTGCAACAAATATTATTCTCAATGTATTCAAGCAAGTTTGACCACTGATGTTTCTTTGGTCTTTGTTTATTATCTGCAAATAACCAGTAGACATGTGCCCTGACTAACAGTATGAATGTTTGCCAAACAACACACACTGGCTGCTTGTGTGGGTTTGTGTGTGTGTGCGTGTGTGTGTGTGTGTGTGTGTGAAGTGGCCGTGTGTACACAGAGCTTGTGCATACAGTAAAGTCTCATCTTGAGTAATTTTTAGTCATCCAAAGCAGGTCCAGTTGTTTCACTTATTTTTCCACAGGTCTGTCTCTGTGTTGTTGCCTCTGGCTCAGTACAATAATTAAACGCAGTAGAATTTTCTCTGATTATGAAAGATAAGCTTGGGACAAACCTGAAGATGGACTGAAACATGCAAAAACTGGACAAACCACATATACATATGAAGGTGGTTTCCGACAACTTTTTTTTTTAGTTGGTTAGTCTTTGACAGTTGAGGAGGAGCATAAACTTATTTATATATTTGATTAAATCATCTGGAAACTCACAACCTTCTAGGCCTTCAGAGAAAGCCAAATTAATCAGAATTTTAAATGTTATATTTAATTTCTTTCATTTAATAATTATTCTCTTCTAATTTGAATTTTAGCCTCATTTTCCATCAAGTTTGCTTCAGAAATGAAAGGGTTACTGTCCTGATGGGCGCATGTGTTTCTTTAGAAAGTGGCAGGTGAATTAACCAATCACATTTTGATTTATAGTGCATGGGATCAAAAATCATTGCCCTGGGCCCAAAGGCTCAAAGCCAGAGCTATCTCAAAGAGTTTACCTTTTTCTGTCCCAGCGTTTAAGCTAGCAGATTGGTGACTTCAGTCAGTCAGTCAGTCAGTCAGTCAGTCAGTCAGTCAGTCAGTCAGTCAGTCAGTCAGTCAGTAGTCACAGCAGAGATGACGAAGTGATAGGACAGTCTGTGATGGGATTCATATGACAATATTAATTTGGACCCTTACAGACTGAAGGAATATAACTGGCTCTGAAGCAGTCAACAGTGGTAGAGTGTTTCCCCCGCCGTTGAGGTCGCATCTTCATCATAGTTCATTTGCATCCTCATGCTGACTCTGCATGCATTCATGCTTCCTGTTTATTTCAGTGGATGAATCTCATTCATCCATTCATGAGCGTCACTAATTAGATGTCAGCAATTGGCTGGAGAGTCATAGTCACAGAATGTGCTGTATTTTCCTACAGACACATCTGTTGTTGTATCAGAAAGCACCGTAACACGTCACTCATGACACGCTTCCTTTTTCCCAATAATTCTGACCTTACTCAATATGCTGATTTACCAATGTACTTAGTCCCAGATGATGTCCTCTCTCACACACACACACACACACACACATTTATGCTTTTTCTATATTTCTTTATTTCTATATGCATTTTGTTATCTAGGTAGCCGCTGCAATCTGTAGGATTTGAAAACAGCATGTAATATTATGATTGGCTCCCCAAACGGTGGGTGAGGCTGCTTGTTTAAGGCTGAAGCGGAGGTTTGTGTCTCGATTGACTTGAGGGCAGTGGCACCGGAGAGTTAGTTCGCAGCACTGAGAGAAAAGTGTTAATTCTGGTAGAAGGCTTGCGTGTATATATTAGACTATTACTGTGAGTGTGATGTCAAAACCTACCAGGTGGAGATGAAGGCTAATTGAACAGAGCAGTTTTTCTTGCCACAATGCCTAATTCTCATCTCGACCCTCCCAAGCGTGGCGACTGCCAATCAGCCAGACTTGATTCCTGCTAAACTTATTAGCATATTCATTTGTTCCCTTTAGCAATGAGGTTTGTTAACATGCAAAGTCCGAGACATAGAGTGACACCGTGTCTGCTGTTGTTTTGATAAGATTGATGAGGCACTTGACTCGCCACCCTTTAGTTAACAGGAGCTGTGGCGGATTTAGCTTTTCCTTTTCCCTCCTTGAGTGTTTCAGCATGTGAAAGAAACAAAATGCAATATCTGTCAATTAGGCTGCTTCTGGTCGGGGTTTACAATTAAATCAGAATGGCTGAGGGGGAGGGTATAAGTGATTGTTGTTGTTTTTAAGTGAGCCTGTCTGCCCAGTTAGCATTGATGTGAAGATTTGCAGGTCAAACTATGTCTAGATGTTTAAAATTGGGCTAAACTTGGTTGGAAAGTGGAAGTTTTTAGACATCTAGGTGACATATAACCATAGTTTAGATTAGTTATAGATGAAATGCTGTCTAAACAACAGCTGTGTATAGCCTGCATGTCTGAAAAAACTGTCACTGTATAACCAAATTTATCTCAGACTTATTTTAGACACGTACATATCTTTGGACAAAGATATGCAAATCACCAAATCAGTGAATTTGCAGACAGCTCATAAAATAGTTTTGTTTATCAACACTCACTTTTTTTTCTGTCCCATCTGAAGTCCTAAAGATTCATCTGTCTGTCACTAGCTTCATCCTGTACCTTGTAGTTTTTTCTGGCCTGTTCTGTGTAGCAGTTGCTCCTCTCTCTTCCTTTCTTGTTTGTGGTGATTTGAGAGTGAAAGAAAAATGGGACCTTTTAGAAATGATGAAATCTCTGTCAGTGTTTGGGTTTATTGGGCAATGTGAAATGCTAAAGTATGACTTGAGTTCTCATATATTCACCCCCAGGTCACTGGCGTGTGTTAAAGTTTGTTTTTCGAAAGGATTTGGCTGTCTGCCAAGCTGAATCATTGCTACATCTCCAGTTGATATTAACTGAGGCTTGCAGGAAGTTGATCACTCAAATGTGAAATCTCTTTCCCGCAGCATATCTATCATCATATCTACGTTTTTGTTGAAATTATGTTTTTTATTGCCAAAAAATCCAGTATCCATCAGGCTGTAATCATTATTATTAGTTAACCCTAACCCTTTACCAAAAAGTAGTGTATATGCTTTGGATATTTTCATTCAGCATTATGATTATTTATTTATTTATTTATATATTATGCTCTAATTAAAGTCAAATGTTAAACCCTGTCAACAAGTCCATATGGTGTTTTTTATATAATACAAGACATATCGTGGCGGAGTATCTCCACCTTGGAACTGCAGTGAACCAATGACAGCCTCAAAAACACAGATTCAGACAACCAGGGTTTCATACGTCACAAACCTAAGGAACTAATCCTCTCAACTTGCAGGCTGAGGCAAAGATACCCGAGACATCCAGCGCAGCGCAGACCTTTCAGTACAGAGAGCGAGGGTTTGCATTAACACAACCACAAACAACATAAACAAATAAAAAAGGTGCTAACAACGCTCACCGTTCTGATATGTCTGCTACTGGCAGATATGGTTCACCACAGACTCTTCGTCTGAGTCTGGGTCTGACTGAGGCTCAAACATGTGGCTGAGTCTCTCCGATGTTTCCTCTAATGCTAGCCATCTTGATGCGCACTGTTCTTCCGCTGGCCAACCTAACACAAGCAGCGGTGGTGGGTGAAGAAATGAAGAATTTTTCTAAGCGTGGATGTGCTTCTTATCAGAGTTTCTTTTAAAGTGTTTTATGTGGGAAAACCGTGTTAAACTAAATATTTGTCATAGAAGAGTTTTTTTTTTTTTAGATACTTTAAAATGCGAATGTTTAAATTTCTAAACGCACACATCAGGAGAGTGCGTCGGAGAGTAACGACATAAATGAGGGTAAAACAAACCTCCTGAGCGGCGGACTGTGGTAGATCGGAGAGGAAAAGCCAAAATAGAGTGAGGGTGTGCCTCCGGCCCCTTAGATTAGGAGAGTGGGACAGTTTGCCTAGTGGCCCCTTTAACAATACTGTTTCTTCCGGCTTTGGTGACGAGAAACATTTTCAGAGAAGCTCATGTGGACTGCTATCTCTTACCAAAATACAAACGCTCAGGTCTGAGCTGCTAGTCTCTGATAAGCTACCTTACGTAGGAAACTGGCCCATGTAGATAGATTGAAGTTCCTTTTGAGGTGTGAGGATTTAGGCAAAGTGGGAGAAAAAACTGCGTGAGCAAACCAAGAGGAGAAAGTATGCAGTTCACTGCCATGGATTTATTCTTGAAGTCAAAAACTCACAGTACCAAAGTGGGATTTTTCAAAGTGGTACAAATGGGCGAGTTTTTTAAAACATAAATAAGAGTATGTGACCTGTGATTTGTCCCCGCAGAAGATCATATGAACTGTATCTGGTTGGAAGGTGTTTTGTTGTCGCAGTTGTGTTCAGCCTGAACTGATTAACCATTACTCATCTGTGTATCATTTCCCCCTTTTCCCTTCTCCTCTGTGTCTCTGTCCAGCTGATAAAAGCAGCAGCAGCAGCAGTGTGGTGAAACAGGGTGAGATGGAGCAGCGTGAGGGGCCCCGGGGCCGTTGGACACCCTGCCATGTCGAGCTGACACCGTGTGAGCTCCGGCTGTACACTCTGGACAGCAGTGCCAACCGCCAGCTGGGCACCGCCTACTCTCTGTCACACTGCCAGAGCGTCATCTCACCAGCACCCTGCAGCCAGCCCGGCCAGATCACCCAGCCTGCCGATCAACGCACGCTGCAGGCTTTGTTCTTCAACAGCACGCGTCTCCAGCTGAGGGCGGCCAGCCAATGGGAGGCGATGGAGTGGAGACGGCTTATGTGGGAGAAGGTGCAGGCAGCCAGACCTGTGAGGCAGGAGAACCGCCAGCTTAAGACCGGAGTGGAAAACCAACAGGTGGCTAAGTTTCCTGCACCCATGTCGCCCTCCTCGTCGCCCTCTCCATCGGGGCTCGACACCAGGCCAGATGGGGAGAGTGACACCCCCACCTCAGCAGAGGCTTCACTCACTCTTCAGACTAATTCTGGCATCTTGAGCAGACCCACCACCCTTCCTCTGTTCACCCAACGCTGCCAGGACGTCCTCAAAGCCGGTCTGCTCCACAAGCTGATGGACCAGAACAACTGGCGGGCCTTCACCGTCGTCCTGACCAGATCTGCTCTCCAAGCTTTCCCTACTGAGGGACGTGGCTCTGTGTCCCAGCCTGTCCTCCAGTACTCCCTGGCATCCTGCTTGGCTGTGCAGCAAGATCAGGAACCAGAGAACGGAGAGCCGTGGATGGATAGAAGGGAACGTTTCCAGGTAGTTTTCCCCAAAGAGGTGCTCCGACTTCGGGCAGAGGATCACCTTAAGGCCCAGGAATGGGTGGAGACCCTGCGAGAGGCAGTGGGAGCACAGAGGCCTGCACAAGAAGGAGGTGTGTCGGGAGAAGGAGCTCCAAGCCTCCAGGGAGTGCTGCTGAGATCAAAACCGTCTCGTGAGAGGAGGCATCGTGAGGCCCAGAGAGCCAAGAGGCAGTCGGTCACCACCAGCTTCCTCAGTATCCTCACCTGTCTGGCTGTGGAGAAAGGACTCACTGCTCAGAGCTTCAGATGTGCAGGTGAGTGGTCTACACACACACACACACATTCACACACACACACACACACACACACACACACACACACACACACACACCCCTATGATGACACATTGTATGAGACTGAAACAGTTAATCGTACCTTGACCCTGATCCATAGTCTGCTCACAGTCTTTTTGTTAGTAAAGTGCAAAGCAGAGCAATTCCCAGAAAATAAGATTCAGTTTGGTTAATTAGTTATAATCTATGCAGAAAAACTAAAAACAATATATGGCCAGATGTGGCCACCAGGCCCCCAAGGTGCAATGCCCCCAGGTCATGTGATGCTCACTCAGCCAAACAATCTCATACAGTCATTACAGAGGAAAGGGCTGTAAAATGATAAAACATGAATGAATATAGTCCCAAAGTACACGTAAATAGGTGATGTTGTGAGTGGTGAATTGACCCTATACAAATAAAAATCGGCTTGACTTGAATGTCACATAGAAATAATAAAAGCAGCATCCTGCTTTCACTCCCATCCTACAATAATATTGTGTGGCATCAGGTCAACTTGAATGCTATTCTCTGCTTATTCATCTCCCGTTTTTGTCATCAATGTGAGAATGACACTAACGATGTGATCAAGACTGTGTGATGTTACTTTTCTTCAGTGGAAAATATGGAAAATTGAGTTTGACTGCAGGTGAATACAGACCAACTCATTTAGGAGGAAAAAACAAGCATCACATTCACTTAAGTGAATGAACATTTCTTTCAAAGCTGCCTTTTAATAATAATTTCAGTGACATATAAAATATTGAACAAACTTCCCAATGTTTAAAACAAAAGTGTAACATTTTGTCAAATATGTTTATTCCTTTGCATGTTTAGAGTTTGATTAGAAGATCGATACCACTCTCATATCTGACTATTAAATGTGAGGCTACAGCTAGCAGTCTGTTACCTGGGACTAGTGAGCTTCAGTGTTGCTGGTTGGCAGGTTTTGTTACTGTTTGACACACCAAGACTAGCTTCTTCCAGTCTTTGTGCTAAACTGAGCTAAGCTAACTGGCTATAGCTTCATATTTACCGTACGGACATGAGAGTGATATTGATCTTGAACTCTCAGCGAGGAAATGAATGTATAATATAATAAATATGATTCCCAAAACTAATCCATCGAGGCATTTGATTTGATATAAAGCAAAAAGTGATCTCAAGTTGTACAATAATTTAAATAATGCATATATCCCGTTGAACAGATATATGAAGGAGGCTGTCTCTTTGAATGCATCTACCTTTTCCTGTCAGTCAGCGGTTCTGGGTGTTTTTCCATTTAGTCTTCACCCTTTTTCATACCCAGGACCATTACAGCCTCTCTCCTCCTTTATTATTATTCCTGTTAGTCTCCATACCGGGCCCTTGCACAGCCCCATAAATGGCAGGCGGTGCTTTTACTCTCCCTGGGTGTGAAACGTGGGCTTCCTCTCTCTCTCTCTCTTAGGAGGGCTTTGAATAATCACCGCTCACCTCCCTTTTTATTTGTAACAACTGGCTTATTAATGCAGGGCTGTTTGAAAGGCCAGCTGAAACAGGAACAAGGACAGAGGCCGTCTGGGGGCAACTGATGATAATTGGTAGGCTTAAAGCACCGGAGGAGAGGAAAAATGGATGAATGAATGAATGAATGAGAGCGAATGAAAGCGGCCTGGGGATGCTGCAGTGGTCAGGCCTGATCGCAGTTGTTTGATTGAAGGGTTTCTGGGTAGATCTGGATGGGAGGGACAGCTGGATACGTCCATTTTCTATACAGAGCACACCTCTGCTCACTCAGTCCGTTTATTTCCCTCCTTTTCCTCTCTTTCTTTCTTTTTCCTTTCACCAGTTCATTCAGACTCACAGCTATTCCCTCTTTTTGTCCTCTTCCTGCCCCTCTTATTTATTTGACTGTATCCCTTCTTAGTCTCCTGCAGTGTTACTTAGCAGGTCTTAAAAAAGTATTTTACACCATTTAAATCTAATGCATGAAATCCTCAAGGTATTGTTAGAGGTCTTGTGCTTCTATAGATTTATACCCTTATTTCCCTGTTTTTTTTCTGTAGCAAAATTGGTCTTAAAATCTCATTCTCACCAGCTTTACAGTGAGAATCTTAAATTTAACTTTAGACAACCTATTTCCCCTCTTTACTGTTACTTTACTGTTTTTCTATCCACTGCCCTCCCCTGGCTCTCATCTCTCATTGGTAGCATGCCAGTTAAATTTTTATTGAGATGTGGCCAGTTTTTTTGTATTACACTTCAATTATTCTGTGCTATACAAATAGACACAGTCTCTAGCACACTGTCAGAGGTAATGCTGGAGAGGAAGACTGATAATATTGGGTCAGTGATACATTTGCAGTGAAATGTCATGCACCTGTTAGTCATTGCTGAAATGATTTGTTTATTAATTCTTTACTTATCAACCAAAAGTGCCGAACACTTCTTGATTCCAGCTGCTGAAAAGTGAAGAATTGCTGCTTTTCTAGGTTTGATAACATTGCACATGAAATATCATCAGGTTTTGGGCTGCTGGTCAGACATCAACTTGTCCTCTGGGAACTTATTAATTGATGACAAAAAATAATAATTGTTTGCAGCTGTAGTGGTTAGAGAGTGACACCTGCCTTTGTACTGATGCCTACATAAACATTACATATATGTACAATGATTTTTACACTGACTTAGTCTTGTGTAGAATTGAATGGAGTACTGAAATAATTAGTTAATTGTTGATTTTGGTCTTTTCAAGGGATTTGTTGAGAATAAGGAAAATACAATCATATATTGAATCAAATCATTGCCATAATAATTTGAATTATATCAGCAGCAACTGAATACCAATTTTTGAAATTGTGCAACTTCAAATTGACTGTTCAGAACTTCACAAAATGAAATTCAGGCCACATAAACTCAGAAAGATGGTTTTCAAAGTCAAATATTTCAGGACAATAAATTCAGTGGTATTTAAATTTCAACGCTAAGTAATCAGTAGTGATTAAATGCCTTAATTTGGTCTCCAGTTGCTAATATGATTCAAATTATTATGGCAGTGATTTGTCTCCATAGCTTTATTCTTTAACTTAGCATAATATTCGTGTCAGTGACCTGCAGCTATTACTGTTGTAATCAGTTCAATTCTGCAAGTATTCATCAAAATCAACTTTGCAAAGTTTGGCATGAGTTGACAATTTAGCTCTCGAAGAAGAAAAAAAGGAACATTGATCCCAACAGAATACCATCTGACCTGTAGACCTGACCATCTGTGCTAAACACTTATATTGGCCATCAAAACCTCCATAAGACTAATTCATCAAACGCATTCATCTGCTGTACTTAACCTGAGAGCATATCTGATTATTCATATATGAAGCCACTAATCTAAACAGGATCTCTTGATGGTGGCAAGCGCAATGCCTAACGTTCAGTATGCTACTTTAGTTTCAACTGATCTCTCTTTGAACTTGTTTCAAGTCTTCCCTTTGCATATGCATGCTACATCTATACATATCGAGTGATTGGTTATTTAACATCAAAATGTAAAATGTATTCAACTAATTACACATGGGAATCGCCGCGTTTTTGATTCCTTTTGAAGGAAACGGTTTGTGTTCGTTTGAAGACCGTGATTCCCCATCACCCCTCACCACACACACACACACACACACACACACACACACACACACACACACACACACACACACACACACACACACACACACACACACACATTGTTCAGAGTGTGTCCTCAGGTTTGGTGACCCCTGTCGTTGCACCGGAGCACATTCTCAGGCCCCCAACAGACTATGTGAATCTGGTGGATGTGTGTGTGTGGGGGGGGGGGCTTTGGGTGAAGTGGGAATCAGTAGATATGAGGGAATTGTGGAAATAGTAGGTGGGCTCACATCAAAAGATAGACAGTTTCTCTCTCTCTCTCTCTCTCTCTCGCTCTCTCAAACTCACACACACACTTGCACACACACACACACTGTCTTGCCCATAGTACTCCATTTGCCCACATTTTCATTCGAGTGTTTGGTTGGTGTGAAGGAGACACATCAAAGCTCAGGCCTTGCTCGTCTTTTCAGTTTTAATTCACACACATGTACATAACACGCACACACACACACACACACACACACACGCACGCACACACACAGTGTCCTCTCAGAGGTGTGGTGGTTTGAACCAGCGGCGGGCAGATGAAAGCGTGAGCCCCTTTTTGCCCTGATGTCATCTCTCTTTCTCTCTCTCTCTGTTTCTCTATGTCTCTCTCCCTCTCTCTCTCCGCCGTACACCCACCCTGGGGAGGTCAAAGTGACCCTCTCTCACTACAGAGAGCCGCAGTACAATCGGTAGACCTTTGAGCTACGTTTGAATTCCCATTCATCTTTCCCTCTGTCCCTCTTTCTCTTCGTCCCAGAGAGAGCCATAAAAGATCAGAGATGAGAAGAGAAAGCAGTTGTTACTCTGCACTGATAATGGAGGAGCTAGTTAGCAGCAGAAAATATTAATAGTTACTGTAACAATTAAGAAAATAACATTCATGAGAGTTGTAGTACTTGTCTATTGGTTGAAAGTGGAAAAAGCAGTGGAAGAAAATCTTGAAATGGAGAAAAAAGTTATGTTTGTATTTGGTACATAGTGGTTGAGGAAGTGTTTTTACTTCATAATAATAATAATAAATAATAATTTCAATATAAAAACAACCAGGGTCCAGTCACTATTTGCATTTAAACTATCTTACGCGATCAGTCTGTACATTAGATGTGATATCATCAATTTCTAAATATGAGTCTTTGGTTGCCACAGTGACTCGGTATCGGAAAGTGACGAGACAGTCAGGCCTGTCTGGGGCTAGTTGGTTAGAATGCTAACTGTAGTAGAAAAGAAGTGATAGAAAGAGATAGCAAAACATTAACATAACCAACTGTTACTGGTTTATGTAGCTAAACACTGTAAAACACCAAATGCTTGTTGTAAATAACATTAACATTATTTTTATCGGAGGTTCAGGTCATAGTTTTCACCGTTTTTTCTTTTCTCTCCTCTCCTATCGAGCCTCTTGATACTGAGAGTCAACTTTTTCATTCAGTATTTGTGTATACAAACTTTATTCTATAGTGCCATACTGTAAATGACCCAACCCTCATACACCTTCTGCTCTGACACAGTCCGATATCAGCACACTCCCATCTCGGTCGGCACTGTGTAGTCACTGTGGTCGTCCTGGCCAGGTCCACACCAAACATGCTGGACTCCATCGGATCCAAACAAATTTATTTTGGTTTCATCTGACCAAAGAATGTGCTGCCAATATTCATCAGGCTTCTTTTCATTTCTTTGGCAACGTTGGCATCTTGCAGTTTTATGCAGTTTTTTCAGCAATGGTTTTCTTCTGGCAATGACATGCAAAGCAATCTAAAGCTTACCTCATTTCACTTCATTTTTGTCCTCAGAGCAATTTAAACCGTCTTATCACTTCCAGCTGTTCTTGTTTTAGTTGATTCATCTGCTTTAAATTTAAGTTGCTTTATTTGCTATTAAGGTTTTATTATTTTACTAATTTGCCTTTTTTATTACTTTTACTTTATATCACCATTTTTATATATATTTTTTTCTCAGCTATATTGTAAAAGAGGTCTCTACCTCATTGTCTTTTCAAGTTGAAGGATGAATGAACTTACATTTTCTTTTTATACAGCCTTTCTTACAGTATATACTGTATTCACAACAGTAACTCACCTAATTGGCTTAATAAAGCATACAATATTAGTTGTGTTTGGGAAAAAATATTGTATTTTTTTATTCATACAACAGAACATCACAATCTATTCTTATAAATGGCCCCTCTGCTCGTTGGTGAGAGTTCTTGCTGTTTTCAGGTTGTTTCGTTGCTTGTTGTTGAGGTCCGCGTCAGATTCATGTGCTTGGTGTTATTTCTTCTTCCAGAGTCCCACATTATCTGCTCAGACTTTACTGTGCAGAGTACATTATAGACTTCCCCTGCTGTGGTAGAAGTACTTTTGCCACCATGTGTGTGTATGTGTGTGGGTGTGTTCTCTTCTTGTCCTCATGATATAGAATTTGAGGTTAAAGTTGTTTAAAGTTTGGTTTGCGAGTGTTTTCAGGCTACATACGTATGTGTCTTTGTACCTCTGGTCCAAACAGCAACACACCAAATTCAAGGCCACAGTTGGCCTGAACGCCTGCCTGGTGGTCAGCTGTTTCCTCGAAGTGACACAGTGTTTCTCTGACTGTTGACCGTCCCCTCTGCCTGCTGGCTCCCAACCAGTGGACTGTGGTTTTTTTGAAAGCGCATCCACCCCAACAACAGCATGAGCTCACTGCTGTAATTAGCCTACCTAGATCTGAGTTACACACATGTATTCAATCAATGGGTGGTCTGGAGATGGACTCGCATTGTGATCAGATGTGTCACCGGTGTAAATGCTGTTTGTAGAGTTTAGGCACATTCTTAAGAAAAACGTTTAAGTTAAATAGCCACCTAACTGAAGAAGCCTCATGGCAAAGGCAAAAATAAGCAGAGCTCAGACAGCAGCAGAGCTCTGCAAGAGTCTTGAGGAACCAATATGACGTGCAAGACGAGGGTCATGTGACTGACAGGGGTTACTGAGTTAGCACAAGTGCTGACAAACCTTCTGAACTATAATTAATATTAGCTTTTGTTAGGAAGTGCTACCGAGAAGAAGCTTACAGGTGTGTTCGGCTCTCTCCACCTGACTCTCATGATCCTCGCCCTGCACACCGCAGCCGTCTCTCAGGTGCATACAGTAGCTTCCCTTGATCTGAGGTCACCAGATCACACTGTGGGCAAACTTGAGATGAAGATAACGCTTATTAATCCCAGGTGTAAATATGAAGCCGAACAAACAGAATGCCGACACTCATATATAAATAGTCTTCTTGTTTAATATACAAGAAGACAATTAATGTGCGTTCTGTTTGTCCTGTTTAGACAGCAACGTCCGTCCACCCAATGCATCGCTGGAGTATTTTGGAGTTGTGCGCGCTGCTGCTGTCTACTGTAAATATAAAGCCACATGATCTAGTGTCAACACGAGCGGGACATTTTACTCTTAAAAAAATAAACTTCAGTTCACTGTGGTGGATGAATTATGTGATGTAGAGACTAAAGTGACACTGTTTTTAAATGATCTCAAACATAGTTTAATTCATCATTCAGTTTATGTGCGGCTGCCAAACAAGTTTTTTTCTTTCTCTTGGTCAGATAAAGCAGGATTCCTGATAAGCTGATAAGACCGTTCTGTCTTTCAGACGTCAGATTCTTGTCTATGACAGAAAAGTAGGTGGACTAACTTCCCTTTATTGTCGGCCTTTATCTGTCCTGGTTTGAGCTCACGCTTCTTCTCTTTCATTCAATTCATTTCCTCCTCTGATCCCTCGATAGTCTCCTTTTTTTTTTTCTATTTCCCCTTTTTCAGTTTGTTTTGTTTCTTATGTTGAAGCACCACTGACAAACAGGCTGACACACGTCCCTCTTCCTCTGTCCTTCTTCTTTTCTGTTTCCTATATCTTTCCATGCCTCTGTTTTCGAATACCAAGATAAAAATCTCCCGTTTCTTTTCTTCTCTTCCTCTCTTCTCTTGCTGTTTTCCTCTCCAGGCCTCGCGTCCTCTCAGATTGCGTGGATAAGGGACACCTGTCACAGTGCAGTGGCATTCATCTATTGGTGTGTGTGTGTGAGATGATAGACCAGGTCCGGGTGTTTGGGTGAAGAATGAACTTTAAAGAGTCTGTCAGACAAAGCAGACAGAGGGGCAGTGATCAGGCTGAATAGAGCAGAGGATCTGTTGATTATTTTTTCTTTTTTAGGTTCTACAAAACACTTTGGTTTTGAAGTCTGCTGTTGTGACTACTACAAGAACCAAATCTCTGTTATCTAAGAGATTACTTCAGATGAATTTGGCAGGTAGATTCTGGCAGACGTGGGTATTAATATTAGAGAATGCTACGGTGGCCCTGAGAGCTCAACGCGCTGCAACGTAAGAAAACACATGCAAAAAGACAAAAAAAACAAAAAAAAATTCAGAAATCATTTTTGTCAGTTTGACAACATGTTCTGCAAATACTCACAACACAACTTAACTTCAGTGGACACAAAATAGTGATGGGGGGGGGGCTGGTGAGCGCGCCACATACCATGAAGGCGTAATCCTAACCACAGTTTGAGTCTTACCCGAGGCCCTTTGTTGCATATCATCCTCTCTTTATCTCTCTCTCTCTCTTTGACTTTCCTGTCTCTCTCTCATTATCACTATCGGAATAAAGCAAAAAACAACTTAAAAAAAAAAAAAAAGAATTGATGAACTCGGCTGGGACGAACTTGTATGGATGTATTATAATACATTCATGCGCACTTGTTGTTCAGTGCTTTTAATTTCAGTCACAAAGTATTGAACGAGTGCATCCCAGCCGGGTTCATCACTTTTTAGTTTCCCCTGGAACCACTTCCGTTGTGTTGTGAGTATTTGCAGCACATGTTGTCAAATTGATGAAGATGTTTTCCTCATTTGTTTGTGTTTTGTCTATTCGCATGTGTTTTCTGAAGTTGCAGTGCGTTGAGCTCAAGTATCAAGTATCAGGATTCATCAAGTATCAACTCTCAGTAAAATATTGTACACTGTTTTGGGCATCATCAAAAATATTGTTATTATATTATTATTATTATTATTATTATTATTATTATCATACTGAAGGACATACATGTGGAGTGGACAGAATAAAATAAAAGATCAGCTTCTCCTTCTAAAATACAAAAATTATGTTATTGCTTTTTTGTGCATCTCTAGCAAATGACACATCATGATAAAATTGCTCATTGTGGAATTGGTCATTATAGTCTAACATAACATGAATCATGCAGGAACTCCTCAAGAACACCACATCTCGTTTTATGAATACAGATCTGAGATGTAAAGATATATCATTTACTTGTACCACAACTTTAGCCCCAACAATATGGCATGCCAAAACTTTAAGACTTAAATATAGTTTTAGTCACCAAATGTCTTTAGTGAATGAGTGACAAAAATGTTTATAGCTGTTCCTAAAAGTCAAACCCAAAGATGGGGTAAAAATCCAGCTGTTGTGAGGAGTGGCAAGATGCAGCAGCACTTTAAATACAGTGATAATGCAGCATACGTCTCTGCTGAAAGACTTTCAGAGGGTTGCACTTGCTTGTGTGTCTAGCTTGAGAGAGATGTTCAAACCCAGGTTACCTTTTCACCCCTATAATCCTTGGGTGCTGGATGCAGTGACTCCAAGGCTGCAAAGCCAGGATCCTGCCAGACAGTGTGCTGCCTTCAACAAACTCAACCCATGGTTAGGGCATGCTTGATTTTGTAGGCTGAGCAATAAGAGAATCCTTCTTAGAGTAACTTCAGTAAGTTTTTCTAGAACAGTAAATAGAGAGTAGAACATAGTATTATCTACAGGTTTATTCGGCTGGATTAGTTTGGTATTTAGTGAGGGGCAATAAACTGACACATATTAACACCAAGTTATTTCCTCCACAACCTTTGTGTTCTGCTGCAACAGACTGTTGACACCATAAGCTGACTTGTGCAACACCTCAGGGCTAATTAGCCAGTTGGAACCCATAAATGGACATAAAATGTTTTATATATGGATGTCTTTATTGAAGCCATCGTTTGATTACCTGCAGCATGTGCCATAAGTCTGAGATAATACGCACTTGCTCCACATTATAATGGAAGATTGTTATGTTGGTTTGAAGCCCACTTTTCACACTTTGTTAAAAGTGGTTTAAGTGGTTTCCTCATGATTACAGAGACTTTCAGGCACCCTAGAGCATCACTTAGTACCTTAAATGTGTTATTAAGATGTAAACACAGACACACACACACACACACACACTCTTACCCGATGACTCTCTCATTCCCTCAGGTTGTCAGCGTCCGGTCGGTCTGTCCAGAGGAAAGGCAAAGGTCTGCTACTACAGTGGCTGGTATTACTGCCAGAGCTGCCATCAGGACAACTCCTTCCTCATCCCAGCTCGCCTGCTGCACAACTGGGACACCAGCAAGCACAAGGTGGGAAAGCACACACACAACTATATGAAAATACCCATCATGTCAATACACTTGCTGCACCAGATTTGAAAGTATGCAGTTTCTTTTTCTGAGTGACTTGAACGGCAGATCCACTGTTTTCCAGTAAGGGACAGTTTTCCAGGATGTTCAAGTCCTCATATCATCTGGTCCTCAAGAAAGTCCATCTATATCGCACTTTACACTCTTCAAATAAAATCTTTATGTAAATGTGAGATATTTGTTTTATTTCAAATAAAATTGCCAGTGAGGTGATTTCAAAACGTTTCCTGAACAAATCACCTGAGGAATTTTCTAAGATCGTGCTCATTTTAGCCCAATGTGAAACGAGACTAGGTCAAAACCTAATACATGGCTGGCCGGCGTATGGTCAATGTGTGAAATTGAGGATGTAGTTGGAAAATGTGGAACTACTGTAAACAACTGATGTCATCCTGCACCTCACGAGCAGCAGGGAAAGCTCATTAATTAACACTTTACATTTGTCTTGTTTAATTCATGCAAAACCAGAGGCTTTTGTATGGGCTCTTAGCCCCACACCATCCATTACAATAAAACATACAGCTTGTCTGGTATTATCTCTAATGTATCCGTTGCCCTTGGCGCAGTGACCCTGATGTAGACTCTGATGTGCTCCTGCAGGTGTCTAAACAGGCCAAAGAATTCCTGGAGTTTGTGTATGAGGAGCCTCTGCTCGACGTCCAGCAGCTCAACCCTTGTCTGTATGAGCACTGTGAGCCTCTCAGCACTGTGCTACGTCTCCGCCAGCAGCTACAGTCACTGCGGGCCTACCTGTTCAGCTGCCGGGCAACTGTTGCCGAGGACCTACGACGAAGGTAGGGCTGGTTGTGAAGTCAGTTTTGATGGGTTAGTGTATTTCTGCATCACTTTTCAAAAGAAACTTGTAAAGTACTTCTTAATTTTGAACGCTGGTTCCCAACCAGCCGTCATCAACCATCAACCATCATCATATCTTGTTGTGAGAAGTTCAACCTTCATTCCTAACTGTAGCTCGTGTTACCTGCACACAGGGTTGTCTGGTGCCACATTTAAAGGGTCAGTTCACCTAAATCACAAAAACGAGACATGGCGATCTGCATGGTTAGATACTAAAAAAATCAGTTTGCATTTTGGATGAATTGACCCTGTAAAAAACAACAATGGGCTGTAGAGTCATTTTTTACACACAGGAGACATCAGCTATTATTTTTATGTTTAACATGAACAGTCTGTGTCATCAGTCACACTGACGGATGAACTTAAATATTTGTTATATTGCTCTGTTGACGAGCAGACACTTGATTACACAGACTGTTAACATTTCCTCGTATGATCCGTGCATGTGTGTTTATGTGTGTATGTCGAGTGCATGTGTGTATATTGCCATAACTTTTATCTGCTTGCATTCCTGCACACATAAAAGATGTGTGCCTGTGTGTATATGTTCATGTATGTGATGGTCCGGGGGGGGGGGACTGTTTATCTGAGTGGAGTCCCACACTGAAAGCCTTGTCTGTGAGCTGATGGATGCTCCTTGCCCTGGTCCAGGTCACTAATACACTCTGATCTGATGGGCCATGTCTGAAGGAGAATCATCCACCTCAGCAAACAGACTGGAATCTAATTAATATTCTATGATGGTGATTTACAAAAAACCTATCTTCTAACATACCATCATACTCTTTCTCTGTTATTTGTGCTTTGAGTTTATTTTTAATACACTTCACAGTTATATTATACAAGTTAAGATGTTATCATTTCACTAATTTGACAAGGAAAGTATACATATAAGACAAAAGACAAAATGGCAAGGACTACAGATGTCCGATGCTAGCCATGCTAGTGTTAGCCTAACTATCTTTGGCAGGTAATGGCAAAAAAAGACATTAAAGGAAGTGTTGGAGAGGAGTGTGCTTTGCAAGCCAAGTATGTCTACAGTATAATTCAGACCTGAGTTTCCTACCACTCACCACTGTCAATTATTTAACAGCTGACACTAGAAGATGGCTACAAAAAAATGCTAAAAATATATATTTTCTCAGGCTTGGCTAGTAGCTTCAAACCCAAACTACTGGTATTTTTATCAGCCTTTAAAAAAAACAAAAGAAAAAAACCCATATTAGTCGTCCCCTGTTGCAAAGCAAAGCAGAGCAGCATCGTGGCGTTCTGTGTTTACTTCTGTCCCATTAGCTCGTGCCGGCTAGTGCCCCGCCACTTCCAAACACTGCAGGATTGATGAGGGCCATGGCGCTAAAACCTTCCCCTAGTCATCAGTCTACTTCAGGGGGAATCTGAAAAGAGATGTCTGTTGCGTACAGGCGGAGAGCTGTGGACACACAGTCGCACACACAACCACATGAGGCACCAAAGGCTGTAAGTTAGAGAGCGCTGTGTTTATGGCCCCGTGCAGCAGTTCTCAAACACTATCAGAGGTTTACATCTTTGATAACGTGTCGCAAAGGATCTTTGACACAGGGTGCAGACTAAAAGCTGTTTTCTGTTGTTTTATGGCAGCGTTCAATGAAGGTGTTTGTGTCGAACGAGGCCGTCCTGATATCCATATCTTTATGACTAGAGCTCATATGCTTGGAAAATACAACAAGATTATCAACACTCTGTTTGTGGTCAGGCTCAAATTGTTAACTTGACCTTTTGCTAAGCCCTTGTTGCCACACCTGTCAAACTGAGGTTGTAGCACGGTACATAATGTTTACAATAATAACAGCGGCAGTTTTGCTGCTACAAATACATTTTAGAAACAGTGGGTTCTTGATTTAAGACAGAAGCAGCTTTTTATTTCTAGTCAGCAACCATGAATTTTGTTGGCTCAAATTACAATTGTATCAGCTTTAGTTGGCTAGCTAATAAAGCTAATTGTAGCTACATGGGTCGGTTAAAACATGGTTTCTGAGTTATTGTTTCTAGCTGGCTTGTTCAGTCAGAACAAACTCTGTAAGAGGATCTTAAATATGCACTTGATGGCTACCTACATGATATCATGCTATCATTGCCACATAATTTCATGTGGATGTTAGGTTGTTATTGTGTCTTTTTTTTAAATTTTATTTCATGAACTCAGGGGCATTATTCTTGCTTTTTTTGGTGGAATTGTATTTGTATTGAGATGTGTATGTATCTCATTCATACATCTTATTTTGGCTTCTTTGCAGAATAATTGTGAGCAAAACTAGTACAATCTGTGGCATAGTACTAAATGTATGGTGCGTTATGGTGCAATTTAGAGCTCTTAAGTCCTCGGACTCTCTGGTCTTCGCTAGAGTGTACTCAGTGGTTCCCGGTGTGCCCTAGATGGTTGCTTGTGTTTATTCGGAGGTCATCTTGCAGTGGTAGGAGCAGGAGCAGCAGCAGTAGTAGAGGTGGTAAAAGAACAAGAAATGGACGTTGTGTTGCAGATCACTGCTGTACTTTCTGGTTCAAAAACATGGTCCTTATCCACCTTGTGTATGTAAATGAGGGCTGACAGGTCATTAAAACATTAACACCCCAAAAACGCAGCTTCTAAAAAGTTGTAATCGACACTTTTCTGACACTGTGTCAACATATATACGTTTGAAAAAGATAAGATTTATTGCAGAGATATTTTTTGGGTTTGCATTAGATTGTAATGTGTTAGTTTGTCCATCCCCTGTACACACACATTTGCAGGACTTCCTATATCTATGTGTATACACACACACTGAATCAGGTCTAACCCTCCTTCAGTAAATGATCATAATCTCTGAGTGATAACAGAATTTTAATGAAAGGTGTGTCTCCTGGAGAAAGAAGCATTGGGGGTTGTGAAATAAAATATGGAATTAAATACTATCAGGTCATGTACAAATATTGTCAGTTGTCGACGTGTGTGCGTTTGCATACATGCATGGACCTGTGTGTCTTCTGTTTGTAATCTAATCCTAAATTGTGTTGTTTCTCAAGTGCTTTTATCAAGATCAGCACACACTTTAAAGGTGTGTTCATCTGGGTACTGACTACACAATCAACAAGGAGTCTGTGCGTGTGCGTGTTTGTGTGTGTGTGTGAGAGTGTGCGTGTGTGTGCGAGCTTGATTATTGGACCCGAGTGTGTGTCACCTTATGAATGCTGATGTGGTAACCATTGGTAACGTGCCAAACAGAGTAGTTTATCAGCGGTGCTTATCACCATAAGGCGTCTGGATCACACACACACACATACACACATGAATACGGACACATACTTGTGATTTGGTGACACTCATCACAGCTTAGACAGGATTTAACATGGTGCCATCCATCTTACAGTGGTCTGAGAGGAGGCCACACACACACACACACACACACACACACACACACACACACACACACACACACACTACACACACAACCACCAGAGCTCTCCTGTCTGTGTTTTGTCACCTAACTTTAGACGATGGAAAGCTTCTGACTCAAGATTAACATTATGACTTTGTTTAGCACAATGGACTGAAAGGCTGGTGGTTAAACATTAAATCAGTCTAATGCTCATTTATTGTAGTGTGTGATTATATGTTTGCAAGATTGAACCTATTATTTAAAACTGGCCAGCACTCTGGACATTAGGAGCCAGTTTCACTTCATATTAAAAAAAAATAAATACAAATTTAAGCTTGAACTAATGTTCAGTTTGTTTCAGTTTCATTTGTGTGTAATCAGTGTCAGATTTAAGAAAAACTAAACTGGACACTTTAGTCATGAGATTAAACGTCTGATGCTGTTTCCTGATGTTTCAGGCAGCACACAGGGACTCAGTGGCAATCTCAGGCTCCCATGTAGTGTGTGTAAAAGATATATAAGTGTTTTTGTGATGGTGCAAGACACATATGTGTCCGTTCCACAGTAACATATGTCTACAATCAATGTGCAAAAAGAGAAATAAAGGAGAAATGCTTAACGAGAATATAATGGTGATGTTTCTCTTATGTGTGATCACAGTTAATTATCTTTGATTAAAAGTGAATCTCATCACACCGGCTTCTCAGAGACAGATGCATTAAAACTTTTTTCTTATGTGTGTTTTCACAGGATCTTCCCCAGGGAATACCTGCTACAACATATTCACCTATACTCCATGGCAGACCTGCAACAGGTACACACACACACACACACACACATCCTGACTTGCTTTCATGTATACAGTACATACACTAATACCGTTAATACCAACTTTGGATGGCTGTTTCGCTGGTTGGAGAAACAATCACAGTCTTTGTGATACTGAAATTGGCAACATCTCAAACATAGTGGCAGTTACTAGTTTAGCTAGCTGCCTTGCAAGTGTTCGCCAGCCATAAGGCAACATTGTTGTCTGAAAACTATTAAAAAGTCATCAATGAGCCACACCGTTGCACTGGGTGACATGTTCCCTCATCACTATGAACACACGCATTGTAGTTTACCGTGACTCAGTTGCACATACACTGTCCTGCTGCCGGAAATACTCACAAGAGCACCAAATGTATATTAATCCTCTGCTGAAAATAGTCCCCACCAAATGCACAAATCTGCCCTACAACAGCAACTACAGAGAGAAAGGGGTCTGAAGATTAAAGAATTTAACATTCAATGGTAAAATAATCTCTGTGTTAAGTAAGGTGTCAAAAAGTCAGATTCCTTCTTTCTTTATTTACCTACCAGTCTAGAAAAAACCTGTCTCGTCACTTTCTGATAGCGACTCACTGTAGCCTCCAATCTGCCCTGAAGACGTAGCGCTGCTCATCGGACGTATTATAACCTCTTGTCTTGTAAACGCGACGATGGCTGAAGCTCTTGTCAAGCGTCAATCACCACCACCTGCTCCTGGAAAGAAACCATGTTCAGTGGCAGAGAAAACTTACAAATAGTCCCTTTTAAGGTTTTTTCCCCTTCAGTAGGAATAAATGGGCTAAGAGCCACAGAAGTGTAGTGAAGTAGCGGACTAACACATTGTTTCTTCATTGTATTTCTTGACAAAAAGAAAACTATAGGATTATACTTGTTTTATCCTTTAAGTAAACACAACATCTCCTTTGCTGTTTTGGCAAGTGTCCATGTCATAGCAGTGATAAGAGCGGTTAATACCCTCTAATAGTCCTATTTAAAACGGGGTTCGCTCTTTCAAGTGTCCTGATCCAGGAAAACATTGGTCTCAGTGGAAAGAATTCAGATCTGGCGTTGTGGAAACCTTTAACACTGCTTCGTCTATTATTTTCCAATATGAAGACACCTCATTGTGAGTTATGTTAATTAGCAGATTTTCTTATCAAATTGCAAAAAACTGTCATCATATCTCTACCAGTTAATACAAGCTTAACGGCCCACCTCTGGTTTAATCTTAGTCAGCAGGGATCATAAAAAAAAGAAACACAACCTGGCCTTTCAGCGGTTCAGTATCTAGTCGTTGAACTGAGTTGGGGGGTGGAGTGGGGGTGGGGGTGGGGGTGGTGGTGTGTGTGTGTGGGGGGGGGGGGGTCAGAGGAAAGCGACCACAAATGACTGAAATAGTTCTTTTGTTTGTCATTATGTTCATTATGTTGTACCCTGCCCCGTTTTTTTCTTTCACCCCTCTCTGACTAAGAGCTCGGCCACAGACTCTCACGGTGAAAGAGATTGGACAGACACCCCCCCACCCCCACCCCCACCCCCCCCACCCCCACTCCCACTCTGTGTCTCTGCTTCACTAATTGGTCACATTCAGAATCAACAGGCAGAAAAACAAAGCGTGACATCCCTCCATTTTTCCCAACATCCCCTTGGCCTCACACACACCCGGCACACATGTGTTTTATGTGTGTGCGTGTGCTCTTCACTCTCTTTCCCCGCTAATCTCTGGGATTTAACTCATAAACCACAAACTGGCGATTTAGTACTAATTTCAACAATAGGTGTCTTTGGTAGAGTCTGCACGGATCCCTCTTCTCTTTTCCTCCCCCTCTAACCCCCCCCCCCCCCCCCCCCCTGGAGATTCTCAAGCACTCTGCCTCTTAATTGGTTTTCCATATTAACAAGCTTGTTTCTTTTGATTCACCTCCTGAATAAAATGACGCTCTTAATCAAGATGGCTTTTTTTGTTCCAGCCCAGAGGTCAGTGAAGGCTAAACTCCCCTGGCTCAACCATGGACCACACTAGTCTATTCACCTCCCGACAAATAGCCTCCACCCATATCCCCTATTAGGAACCAGTTCATTTTGGAGAAACCATATGTGTTTGTTTAAGGCCACTCTGCCCTTTTCCTCTGCTGGTTTTAAGGATTGTTTCTAGGGTTTTGTGTGAGGACTGAAGTAGTAGGGAAGTAGATGAGTGTGCATGTGTGTGCATGTGTGTGCATGTGATGTTGTGTGTGTGTGTGTGTGTGTGTGTGTGTGCAGCAGGCTTCCCACAGTGACACCCTGGCATTCCCTCTATGCCAGGCATGCCTCTCCACTCACACTTGTCCAGACACACAGAGGCCTCTTAAGTAAATGTTAAATGTTCTCAGAAAGATTTCCAGTTTCTTCACAGTCAGATAGAGCTTTGTCCTTCAAATGCACAACACTGGACTGTATGATAATGTCAAATAAATAGTGATAATAATTATCAAAAAAACAAAAAAAAACAAACCCCCCCCCCCGCAGTGGTCAGAATGTATAAATACATTTTGGAGGCAGTGCATGTCAGCTACAGCACTGAAACCTACACATGGCCACTATAGGTACAGTGTAACCCCTTTATGCAAGAATATAAATTAAGCTTCATCCATTAAAAAGTTCAAATGTTGTGTAATTTGACTCTTGGCTCTGGCTCTGGTTGTACCGTTGGGGCTCATGTTGTTGACTAAAAAGCTGTGTGCTCTAGTTTTCCTCTGGACTCGAGCAGCCATGTGTCCTGTCCTCTGGACACCGGTCCACAGGCCAAGGTACAATATGTCAAGACAGACATTGACTTATCGTTCCTGCACCTTCATTTTATCTTACACATGGTTTCATTGTGTTGAAGGGAATGTTATGTCTGTTCATTGTGGAGATTCCAAAGTACACAATTAAATAAAATTCAGCTACTGTTATCTCACCCAGGTCATTAATGTACATTTTATCCGGATTTTGGAAATGTTTGCTTTTTATTAATCACCTGTCAGCCAGAAAAAACAATTTCGGGAACCCCCTGATATGACGGACCCCACCCTGCATACACTGACAACCGACATACATTAAGTCTTCTATGTGTGTGTGAGGAGAGGGTGTTATCCAAACAGAGCTCACCCTGGTCTCTCCAGCCATGTCCATGTATATATGTGTGTGTGTGTGTGTGTGTGTGTGTGTGTGTGTGTGTGTGTGTGTGTGGTGGTGTGAGACAGAGAGAGGGAGAGGGAGAGAGAGACAGAGAGAGAGGAGGGCAGGCGAACGGCTGTTAAACAGCAGTTTTAGGGGATTAGGAGGTTTTGGAGCACAAAGGCTCGGCGTGGAGCAGAGAAAGAGGCTGAACTGGAGGGGGAGGAGTTTAAGAGGATGGATGGGGGAGAGGAGGTGAAGTGTGTGTGTGTGTGTGTGTGTGTGTGTTGGGGGGGTATTTGGAGGGAAAGAGGGTAAAGGATGTGAATAGATCTGGAGGGTTTGTCCTGTAGGCTGCTCTGGAATCATATTGTGATCATAGTCATGTGAACAGTAATTTTCCACTTTTGCAAATTCATCATTGTTGTTTTTAAAAAAAAATCTTGGTTCAGACATGGAACACTGCTGGCTTCATCAAGCTGTTTAAGAGTTACTTTACTTCCTGTGCAGGAAATAGAAAGGCTAGAAAAAAAGTGTAGTCTGACAATATAAACAATTTTGTGTAATAAAAATAGTTGTTCTCATCTTGTAAATTATATCAAATCTCTTCCGATTCATCACATGTCAACAAATTTTGTCTGTTTTAGAGACAGAAGTAAGTCTGACCCAACCGACCCTGTCAGTCTGGCTGCTGGTTGACCCACACTCTCACAACAGCCATCAATATTTGGCTTTATTCTTGTCTTTACTTGATGTGTGCGACAAATTAAAAAGGGTTGAGGCTGGAAGTTCAGGTCTGGCTGGCCAGTGCTAAAATGGTAACTGGCTATTTGTTGTAAGCAGTAACAGCGGAGGCACAGGCATTTTAAGAAAATGGAGGAAATGACCAGTGAATTTAGAGAAATAACTGATCAGATTTTTTCTGAGTAATTCAGTGTTTATTATGAAAAATTGCATGCAGGCATCATACACTTACAAGAAACCGGATTTGATTTACTTGTTGTTTTCTTTATAGTGCCCTTTCCCTCTTTTCATCCGTCCATTTACTTGTGTCACTCTCCATCCATCTTCCTGTGCCTCCCTCCGTCTTTCCCAGTGTCCCTCCAGAGTACCAGTCAGCTACCAGAGCTGTGCTGCCAGTCGTTTGATTCTGCCCAGTCCAATTATAGAGGGCCTTAATTACTGAGGCTGTCAGCCTCCATCAGTAGAGCCATTCGTCATGTGGACTGGGCTGGACCGGACTGAGCAGGTCTGCGTAGGTTTGGTGTGGGCTGTGCTGGGTGCAGGGGGACACATACTGTATCTGCCACTGTCTTTCACTTTCAGTATCTACCTGTCTGTCTGCCAGGGAACAGTTTTATCTGTCCTGGACTGAGTTTGTTCTCCCTCATATATAAAGAACATTAAATTAGCGACACTTACAGGTACAATGTCTTTTCAGCAGCATTTTTTGGCTGGACGGCAACAGAGAGGCCTATTAAACAGACAGACAGTAAAAACTATGAATTTTTTGATGGCCCACTGGTCCACCAATGCAGTGGGATTTCTCCCAGTGTCCCAGAGAGAGAGAGCGAGAGAGAGAGAGAAGGGCAAGGAGGTGCTGAGCTCTTCAATGAAATAAGATTTTACCTTTCTCATGTTGGTCTGAGACTGATAGATTGATATCATATAAGGGCACAGTATGGGTTGTTAATGTGAAAACCCTCAGTCGAGGCCATTCATCTCAGTGTAAAGTGCAGCAGTCTTTGGCTGTGGTGTATGATTTACTGTACACAAGATTAGTATACCTCAGTGCACTATGCTTCCTCTGTGTGTGTGCGTGTGGTTTCTTCCTCCTCTCTCCATCTCATGTCCTCCTCTTCTGCCCTTGTCCTCGTTGTCTAACAAACAGCATGAAGGAGGTTATAATTGGGAGGTCCAGAGCTCTGCCAGGTGGAACCACTTGTATCTGAATACAGGCTCTCGCTCTCTCTCTCAAGATCTCTCTGGTATATTGTATCTCTACCACTCTTTCTCTTACTTTATACTCTGTTTTTCTCTGTTACATTCTCCCTATCTGTCTTACATACCGTCTCTCTCATTACACTTATGGCTATGACTGCATTATTAACATCATACGGCAAAGCTTATTGGCCATATTTAGTTTTTATTTGTGAAAGTTTCTGCACAGCTTTTCTTTTCACTAACTGTTTCTCTGTGAGTCATCCACTGTCTATTCACTACAATACAACTGCAGCCCCCCCACTGCCAAAACCCCCCACCCTCAGTTCTTTAAGGAACCTGCCAAGCGTTGCCATTAAAAGGCATTCACCTCATTTACTGTCTTCCTCCTTCCTTCCTTCAGTTTCCTCTCCTCCTGTTTTCTCAACTTTTCTGCAAGGCACAGAGGATACTATACTGCTTTCTTGTAGTCATTTTAAAGTCAGTCTTTAAATTAAGTGGTGGAAGTATTCAGAACTTTTTCCCAAGTAAAAGAGGCAATACCAAATACATTCTGCTTTTAGTGAGAGATTATGAGGAATTCATTGTTACAAGTAATTTTAATTTTGTAAAAGTACAAAAGTTTTAGCATGGAAAGATACTATAAAAAGTGAAAGGACTAATCATGCAGAATGGCCCATTTCATACTAATTTGTATGTTAAGTATTGATGCATTTAAGTCTACATCACATTAATGTTGCATTTGTTAAAACTGGAGTTGATTTAAATGATTTGATTTTCCCCCTAGGGATCAATGTTTTATGTTACCCTGTCTTAGCCTATAATGATACATCATAATTGTTAATTATAATTTGTATTGTCATCTTAAATTTCAAAGTAACTTAAGTTATGATTGTAATGGAGTAAAAAGTACAGCACTTACCTTTGAAATGTAGTGGAGTAGAAGTGTAAAGTAACTAAAAATTCAACACTGTATCTTGTTAAAAACATTTACAACTGATCTCAGAACCTACCACGAACTCCATTTGTAATGGAGTTCCAGTTTCTGTCCTTTTTTCCCTCATGTTTTTTTCTTACTGTCATGTCAGTGCAGAGATTCTTTTTTTATTCTAAAAAAAGTTCTGATATTTAACTCATGTTTTTTATATTTTCAGGTTGCACAGACAGGTCTTTATCTCACTTGACACAACTGTTGAGGGGTGTGCCACAAGGTTCTTTACTTGGTCCTGTTTTGTTTGCCTTTTATATACTTCCGTATTTGTGAGGTTTCTTTTCTTCGTCTTATAAGTCCTCAGTCAGAAATCTTGGTGTCGTGTTTGACAAGGCACCCACTCTGGACCAGCATGTGAAGTGTTTTATTCTTACTTGTTTTTATCAGACGAGGAATATTGCAAAACTTGGGCCTATTGTGTCTGAGATGGAGATGAATATTCTTATAAAGCAGTTCAAGGCCCATCTTCTTAGACTTGCCTTTGATTAGCGTTCTTTCTCTATTTTTATCTCCTTTATCTATTGTTTTACATTGTCTCTGTTTTTTTGTCTTTCTTTTATAAATAATATATAAATAAATTTATGTACAACAAAGTATCAACTGCCTAAATTGCATTAAAAAACTAAATTAAAAAAACACATCAGATCAACGTTGCCAGTGGCCACTTCAAGTCTTTATTGTTGTTGACCATGTCCTTCTGCTTCTTCTCTACCCCTCTTCTTAAACCCTCACCCCCTTTCCTCCTCTCTCCTCACCCTCCAGGTGATCGATGGAAAACTGGCTCCCTTTCTGTCCAAGGTGATCAAGTTTGCCAGTTCCCATGTTTTCAGCTGCAGTTTGTGTCGAGAGAAAGGCTTCATCTGTGAGCTTTGCCACAACGGACAGGTCATCTATCCCTTCCAGGAGAACGCCACCAAGAGGTAGGGACCCAAAGACAACCTTTCAATCAATTTGAACATTTACTTATTTAAAGGAATCTGGGCTGGTCATCATTTAACAGAGCAGTGATCCAGTCTAGCAGAGATCAGACCAATTAAGTTTGAGACCTTGACAGTGAACTTGTTTTGGCCAGTCCTGACTTCTTCAAAGGGCTAGTTTAAGCTAAATTATAAAAGTATGGAGTGGAGTATTTCACACGTCCCTCTTGTGCTGCTCTGTCGATAGTTTTAATTTTCCAGGTTTTGAAATATCTGCCTTCAAGATTTCTGCCCTGATTTTATTTCTGGCACTCAACAGAAAACACAAAACAGACTACAGTGAGGTGTGTTGATTATCCAGAGTAACAGGTGCTCTTGAAATTTTGGTTCCACAAATAAAATTCCATTGTATTGGCGTGAGCTGAGCCTGCTGCTTGTTAGTAACACTGGTTTGCATGAAAGCATTTGTGTGCGTGTGTGTTGGGTGAGGGGATTTTCACGACATGAGCAGTTAACACAGTCCAGAGCTTTGTCTTCGCCCCTGATCCTCAGAGTGCCAGACAGCATAGTGATAAGAGCAGATCAGGACTGATTCCTAGAAGACTGAGCCGTGGAGGGAAACACTTATACACAGTCTGCTCTATAACACATGCACACACCTTCCTTGTTGAGTTGTGTTTTATGACTTGTGAAGGAAGTGTTAAGTGTTAACTGATAACAGCTGCATCTACTGTACTTACAGGAACAGAGCGGTAATGATTCACTAAGCTTATTCAGAAAGTGATAATACAGGAAATGAGCAATAAGTGGATTAATGAAAACAGCCAGCCATGTTGCAATCAAATATGTGATGTAGTGTGTTCTATTTGTTGTTTTGTCCCATCATTTCATTCAGTAATAATGACATCACCTATTCACCATGTGCAATAATTTCACACACCCCATCTGTGCAATATGCTTTATCTGCTGCTACTTTTTGTCATTGTATAATATATCATTAAAACGTCATAAAATAGAATATAGAAAGTCATAGTATGGTAGGTCATAAAAACGTCGTACTATAGAAAGGAATAAAAGGTCATAGTATACTACTATACTAAACGTTGTAGTATACTATGTCATAAAACGTCATAGTATAAGGCATTTTTGTTTTACTATACCATGAGGTTTTTATTCCTATGACTATGACATTTTATGACAATTGATGCGATACTACACTGTGACGTTTGTTGACATTTTTTGAAGTTTCCATGCCTTACTATACAATGACATTTTATGACAATTGATGCCATAGTATACTATGATGTTTTTATGAAATTTACTGCCATACTATACTATGATGTTTTTATGACATTTTATGCCATACTAGACTATGACGTTTTTTTTTACATTTTTATGGAATTTAATGCCATACTATACTATGACGTTTTTATGACATTTTATGAAATTTCATGCCTTGCTATACTGTGACATTTTTATGACGTTTCCATGCCTTACTATACTATGACGTTTCTTGATGTGTTTATGCCTTACTATACAATGACATTTTATGAAATTTAATGCCATGCTATACCATGACGTTTTTATGAAATTTAATGACATACTATACTGTGACGTTTTTTGACATTTTTATGCCTTGCTATACTATGACATTTTTTGATGATTCCATGCCTTACTATACTATGACATTTTATGACAATTGATGCCATATTATACTATGACGTTTTTATGCCTTGCTATACTATGACGTTTTTATAACAAATGATGCCTTACTATACTATGGCATTTTATGACTTTTTTTGCGAAACTATACTATGACTTTTTTAGACATTTTTTGACGTTTTTTATGCCATAGTATACTATGACGTTTTTATTGTTTTTTATTCCATAGTATACTATGATGTTTTTATGACTTTTTTTTGCCATACTATACCAGGATGTTTTTTGACGTTTTTTATGCCTTACTATACTATAAAGTTTTTTTGACAAATTATGCCATACTATACTATAATGTTTATTAAACATTTTTATGCCATAGTATACTATGACGTTTTATGACTTTTTTGCCATATTATATTGTGATGTTTTTACAACATTTCATGCCATAGTATACTATGACGTTTTTTGATATTTAATGCTTTACCATACTATGACGTTTTTATGACAAATTATGCCTTACTATACTAAAATGTTTTTTTGACAAATGATGCCATAGTATACTATGACATTTTATGACTTTTTTTTGCCATACTATATTATGATGTTTTTTGACATTTTTTATTCCATAGTATACTATGACGTTTTTATGAATTTTTTTGTCATAGTATACTATGACATTTTATGACATTTTTTGCCATATTATACTATGACGTTTTTTTGACATTTTATGCCATAGTATACTATGACAATTTTTGACATTTTTATGCTATACTATACTGACATTCTTTGACATTTTTATGGCATAGTAAACTATGACATTTTATGACTTTTTTTGCCATATTATACTATGACGTTTTTTGACATTTTTATGCCATAGTATACTATGACATTTTTATAACATTTGCCATAGTATACTATGATGTTATCATGACTTTTTTTGCCGTACTATACCAAAACGTTTTTTATACCTTACTATACTATGACGTTTTAAAGACATTTTATGCCTTACTATACTATAAAGTTTTTTTGACAAATGATGCCATAGTATGCTATGACATTTTATGACTTTTTTTGCCATACTATATTATGATGTTTTTTGACATTTTCATGCCATAGTATACTGACGTTTTTGACATTTTATGCCTTACTATACTATAAAGTTTTTTTGACAAATGATGCCATGGTATATTATGACGTTTTTTGGCATTTTTTATGTTGTTGTATACTATGACATTTTTTGACATTTTTATGGCATAGTAAACTATGACATTTTATGACTTTTTTTGCCATATTGTACTATGACGTTTTTTGACATTTTTATGCCATACTATACTATGACGTTTGTTGATATTCTTATGCCATAGTATACTATGACATTTTTTATTCCATAGTATACTATGACGTTTTTATGAATTTTTTTGTCATAGTATACTATGACATTTTATGACATTTTTTGCCATATTATACTATGACGTTTTTTTGACATTTTATGCCATAGTATACTATGACATTTTTATGCTATACTATACTGACATTTTTATGGCATAGTAGACTATGACATTTTTTGACTTTTTTTGCCATATTATAGTATGACGTTTTTTGACATTTTTATGCTATACTATACTGACATTCTTTGACATTTTTATGGCATAGTAGACTATGACATTTTTTGACTTTTTTTGCCGTACTATACCAAAACGTTTTTTATACCTTACTATACTATGACGTTTTAAAGACATTTTATGCCTTACTATACTATAAAGTTTTTTTGACAAATGATGCCATAGTATGCTATGACATTTTATGACTTTTTTTGCCATACTATATTATGACGTTTTTTGACATTTTCATGCCATAGTATACTGACGTTTTTGACATTTTATGCCTTACTATACTATAAAGTTTTTTTGACAAATGATGCCATAGTATGCTATGACATTTTATGACTTTTTTTGCCATACTATACTATGACATTTTTATGAAATTTAATGATTTACCACACTATGATGTTTTTATGACACATTATGCCTTACTATACTATGTTTTAATGTCATTTTATGCCTTACTGTATTTTTATATATATATATTACTATCTCCCCCAGAATCTGTGCCAATCCACAACTGTTCTTTCTTTTTAAGTCTTTTTATGTTTATGAGTACTTACATGCGTATGTTTGTTTATATGCATGAATATATGTACATGTATGTGTGTGTGTGTATATATATATACTTTTTTAAAATTTCATGTATACATTGTCTGTTTTGTTTGTGCTTCTAAATGTTTTTATTTGCTCTATTAAGTGTTCCTGGGTGGTATCATTACTATGACATTTTTCTGCCATAGTATACTTTGACATTTTTTTGCCAGACTATACTATGTTAGTACTATGTACTGTATTTTTATACATCTATACTACTATCTCCCCCACAGTCTGCGCCAATGTACAACTGTTGCTTCTTTTTTAAGTCTTTTTTTTGTTTATGAGTACTTACGTTCGTATGTTTGTTTATATGCCTGAATATATCAATGTAAATGTGTGTATGCATGTACATGTATGCGTGTGTATTTGTATGTGTGTGTACATATATATATATTTTTTTTTTTTNGGTATATTATGACGTTTTTTGGCATTTTTTATGTTGTTGTATACTATGACATTTTTTGACATTTTTATGGCATAGTAAACTATGACATTTTATGACTTTTTTTGCCATATTGTACTATGACGTTTTTTGACATTTTTATGCCATACTATACTATGACGTTTGTTGATATTCTTATGCCATAGTATACTATGACATTTTTTATTCCATAGTATACTATGACGTTTTTTGACATTTTTATGCCATACTATACTATGACGTTTGTTGATATTCTTATGCCATAGTATACTATGACATTTTTTATTCCATAGTATACTATGACGTTTTTTGACATTTTTATGCCATACTATACTATGACGTTTGTTGATATTCTTATGCCATAGTATACTATGACATTTTTTATTCCATAGTATACTATGACGTTTTTTGACATTTTTATGCCATAGTATACTATGATGTTTTTTATGTCATAGTATACTATGACGTTTTTTTGACATTTTATGCCATAGTATACTATGACATTTTATGACTTTTTTTGCCATATTATACTATGACGTTTTTTGACATTTTTATGCCATAGTATACTATGACATTTTTATAACATTTGCCATAGTATACTATGATGTTATCATGACTTTTTTTGCCGTACTATACCAAAACGTTTTTTATACCTTACTATACTATGACGTTTTAAAGACATTTTATGCCTTACTATACTATAAAGTTTTTTTGACAAATGA